TGTCTGTGGGTGAGCACTTCACCAGGCAAGAAGAACCGAGAGGCACTTTGCTTTGTTCTTCAATAAAGTTTCTGTCGTTGCTGTTGTACACCTCTCATCATTCAGATTAAAAGGTCACCGGATGTGTCACGTAGGGTTTAGATTTTCCTGAGCCTGAGTCAACATGTTAAATACTATCCGGTTCATATATTCACTTTTACGCAAACATTTGCCCTATTTTTCTCCTATAAAATTAAAAAATGTAATGTTTTGGTGTTTAATTTTCTGGGTAATACGCCTTCCAATAGCTTAATGTCTAGAAATGTGTGCTTAGATGATAGTTCTGTAAGAGCACTGCTTGGCTTCCGTTAGGTAATTTGTGGATTAATCACCTTGTAAATACCTATACATCTGATGATAGTGATCTAAAATACACACATTTATTATGATGATGATTCAGAGTAGTCTGAGCTTTTGTGGTCATCTTTGCATTTTCAGTTAAATTCCATACTTTGAAAATGTCTATTATTCATGAATTCCTTGGCGTAATAATAAAAGTGCTAAGAGCAAATGTTAGTAGAGCTTTCTAATCTAAAAGGAGTTTTTAAAATCTCGTTTTTGTAATTTGTATTTAGCTCTCTTTCCTTTAGGCAAAAAGCCTCGTAAAGCCAGGCACAGGCACAAAGGTAAACCCAAGGCTCGCTTTGGCCTCCTGCACCCCCTCGCTAGGACAGTAGCTTTAGTGAAGTTTGCCTCTTAGAAGATGGACTCCATGCCTCCCCGTTTTCTGTAGGTAGAAGCATAGTTGCTATTTTCACTCTCTGTTCCCGTAGCAATAGTTTCTTTTTACCTTTATTGTTTCCTTTACTCTGTTTCTTTAATTCTTAGCTATTTTTATTGACGCTCTGAGACTTTTCTTAAAAAACCCCTTAATTGATTCGCTCTTCCTCATGTTTTCCCATCCCTGACAAAGCTCCTTAATCCCTGCCTCCCAACTGAAAGGATTCGGAGTGTTTTGAGTGTGCGTTTTTCTCCATCACTGCATAGAAACCCGGCAGCATGAGTAAGATTTTCCTGATTTACAACAGCTGTGGCAGTTTACAATCATTCTCTATGGCACGTGGATCCTCTCTTAAGGATCAAAAGCAGGAGTCAAAAGAAACAGTCATACCTAATGGGACAGTTCAGAACACTAGCTGTAGAGTTCCTTTTTATCTTAAATCATCTCCTAAAAGTTGGCATGAATAGTCTTGAGTTTAGGCACATGCTAAATGCCACACCTCACAGTCAGCACTCTCTCTCAGCTGGCCCTTCAGAGATCCCAGTGGCCTGTGTCAAAGTGGCTTTGTGACCTTGGAAGTTCAGGATCTTGGGACAGGCATGCTAGGAGAATATTGGAACCAAGTTTGGTGGCCAGGATTATTTTCAACTATGAGAAATCGCCATGCTGAGCCAGAAGCAAGTCCTGTTTTCATTCTGCAGATACAGATTTCATTCTAGATGGAATTTTGACTTTTTCTATAAAAGCAAAAAAAGTATATCCCTGTGCGTAGTATGAAAATTGTGTCATTTTATGTGTTGATAAATTATCTGTGGAGTGTCACTGTCCCAGTTAATGTATGATTTTTTTTTTAAATGCAGTTAAGACAGTTCTGTTTGTGGCTGTATAAAATGATGTTGGGCGTCATCTAAGGGAGCTGTGGGCTTTTTTTCTCCTTGGACATCTCAGTGCAGTGGGGATGTGTATTATGTGCATAGTACACTAGGTGGCAGCAAAATACCACCAAAGGAAGTTAGGCTTTGCTAAAAAATAAAAAGCCACATCTTCAGGCATAGTTTAAAAACAAAAAAGAATTAAGTGACAGTGACTGTTGTGAACAACACATCTAAAACACAGAGAAGTGTGAGGTGCAGGACTGGGAAGGATAAGGAAACAGTGTGGTGTCAGGGGATTTCCCCCCACCCAGAGAAGATGGGGTGAGGAGCAAGGACCCCAGGCTGCATGCCTCAGGTAGGCTGACATGGGGTGTGCCTAGAGCTGGCGGCTCAGGAATGGACCTGGTTGGGCCCTGGCGGCAGGGTAGGGGTACTCCATTCTCTTACATCTGTTGTAGAACCCCCCCCTACTTCTCTGTGGATAGACGGATGTGATGTCTAAATGTACTTGTGACTGGTCTTGTCTGCCAACACCTTTTAGCAGGTAATTCTTCAGATTCAACAGGAAAAAAACAAGTTCTGAGGATTTGAGGGTACAGTTCCTAATGAATTGTCTTTCTTTTTCCAGTGTCCAATCTTAGGGTTCACCTCTCCTTACTCTGTTTGCTTTCTGTTCTCCCACTGATTTTTGCCACTCAGCACCTCATCTCCCAAAATGTTTTAATTTCCTTCCCAGGCTTCAGTGTGATGCCTCCGCACAGCCCTTTATATATTACCCTGTGAGAATATTACTTTTTCCTCATTTTGAGTTCTTACGAGATCCTGACAGTTCCCTTAGAAGCTGAAGGATCAGAGTGAGGAACATATACTCTCCTTTACAGGTGGCGTTGGTAATTCTTACATCACATGATCATGAACGAAACACATTTCAGTGTCTCCATCACCTCGGATAAGCTGTGGTGATGGAATGTCTAAGCACTTGAGCCCACCAGCCACCCCTCACAGAAAGAGGCCGCACAGTTGGCTTCTCAAAATGAGTTAGACCAGAAACACTGTGCAACACTTCTCCTCTGTCCAGGAGGGTTGCTGGGCATCAGAATCAGCTCAACAGCACATAGCGCATTAACTCAGGAACAGCCACATGCAGAAGATTAAACGTTTTCAACCTGAAAACTATGTCCTGATTTGTCACAGCTGAGTATGTGTCTGTCCTGTCCCTCCAGCCTGCCTGCAGCAGAGCCAAGTCGGCTCTGTCCCCCAGCCCACCTGCAGTAGAGCTGAATGACTGCCAAAAACCATCACTAGATTCCTTGTGTGACTTCCAGAAAGACTGCACACTCATTTACATGACTACGGTCCAAGGCCCTGTAAACACAGGAAGGTTTCCATCAAGGGAGCTCACTCGTAACTGATAGTGAAGTTTTGTCACCTAAAAGAAAGGGATGCACAGGAAGATATTAAGAAGTGACATCATGTTTAAGAAGGCCTTGAAAGAAGACTTTTACTAGGGAGGAGAGTGAGTAAAAGAGCTGGAGAGCAGTGTTCAGTGGAGGTCCCTGTCTACAACAGAGCCTAGAAGACAGGTGATTGGACAGTGGACACACGCCGGGGCAGTTAAAATGAGTGTTGGCTTGGACTGACTTTCTTTGAGGGAGCATTGGGTTTGGGGAGTTAGGTGGCTTAATTGGTGTGGTCACAAAGAAGGCAAAGTGTGCCATCAGTTGGGTATTTGAGTGAGGTCCAGTGGTTCCTCACTAGCGGCAGTTTTGCCCCTGTAAATGGCTGGCCATGCCTGGACACATCTTTACATTTTTTTATTGTCACAATTGGAGGAAGGAGGATGCAACAAGCCTGTGGTGAGTAGAGGCCAGGCATGCTGTTAAACATCCTACAGTGCACAAGAGACCACGCTGCAACAGCTGTCTGGCCCAAAGGGCTTCTAGTTTAAGAACCTTGGGTTAGATTATGCTGTCTTGGTGGCTGTGGCATAAAGATTTCTGTCCTGCTCTCTCTAGTGCCTTGGGGTTGGTTGAGGCTCGGCTTCCCATTACCTGTGCTCTGGAGTGCAGGCTGCTGGAGCAGTCACCATCTGGATTATTGCTTCTGCTTTAATGGCCAAGACTAGTCACATAGACCTGCCCACCACAGAGATGAGGAACTCCAGTTCTCCCATTTGCCTGGAAAGAGGGGAAGCAACCATTTTTCATCAATAATGCGGTTTATTTCCATGGGGAGCCACTTTGGATCAGAGAGGAGTCAGTCAGAGAGCAGCTAGTGTCTTCATCCATGTCCATTTTACTTGCTTCAGTAGATTAAAAATGTGTGCAAAGTGGATTAGAAAAAGGAGAGTTGCCGGACTGTGAAGTGGCTTAGTGCTGTTAGACTAAGATTCTGAACGTACGCGTTCCAGCTGTTGGGAACATTGCAGGCATGTCTGGTCACTGAATTTCTTAGCTCTTAAAGTGGCTGGGAAGGCTGGCACAGTGCAAACCTGCAGAGTAAGCAGCCTTCCCCATCCGTCTCAGTGTGCCCTATTTCTGATGTGGCCATGATGTGAAAAAGCTAAAACAGCACTCTGACAGGAGTCTCTGTTTAGAAAGAAAAGTGGCTGATTTTAGAAACAACTTTGGTTGCAGTGTGGAAGCTTAAATGGAAGGGGGAGATGTATTGGCAGGACTAGGGAGGAAGCTGTTACGAAGAACCTAGATTAAGAATGGGACTTCGGAATGATGGCCCTCCTGAAAATGAATAGGCCAGTGTAGCGAGGACGGTAAGTTCAGGAATGTGGGGTTTTAGGAGGAAGTCTTATGAGGACAATGGGGCTGGGATTATAATTGCACAAACTATGAAACTCAAGTGTGTATATTTTGAAGTATCACCTAGTAATTGTTGACGTTGCTGCTCTTTAGAAATGTCCTATTTTTTAGAAGATGATAAATCTATCTTATTTCAGTTCACTCCCATTAATTTTGTTTTGTAGTCTGCTTCATGAAATTTTAAAATGTGAGAATACATTATTTTTTTAGAACAAGAAGACAAACTGCCTTCATTTTATGAATTTTTTTTTAAATATGAAAAAGGTATAGTTTACAAGTGGAAATCTGCAGTTTATAAAGGAAAACTCTGGTGGCACTGTGATTAAGCACTTGACAGCGAACAGAAAGGCAGTGGTTTGAACCCACCAGCCACCCCTTGGGAGGAAGCTGAGGTGTTCTGCTGCCGTAAGGATGTGCAGCCCATGAAATCCTCCAGGGGCAGCGGTGTTGACAGGTTTACTGTGAGTTGCAATCAACTCAGAGACAGTGTGTCTTGTTTGGTGAATTTCTAATTAGCAAATAACAGGAAAAAAACCATTTTTATTTTAGATGAAGATCGACTTTCTAGAAGAAAAAGTGTTGTGGACACTGTGTCTATCCAGGTGGATATCCTGCCCAACAGCATTCACTCAGACGATGTGGTGAGTTGTCAAAGTCCATGGACTATTTCCTTGAAGTGGGTATCATGTCAGAAGTGATTTTGCCTCTCCACACTTTCAGACAGCAAAGTAACAAGTCCTAAATTATCCCTTACTCTACTAGAGTGCTAATTGGAAATAATAAATTTAACCTCGAGTTTATTTATATCTTACAGGACTTATTTCAGCTATTAATAAAGATACATAAACTTGATAGTATATCGCACAATATTGTTACATTTCATGTTTCAAATGTAATACAGTGGAGAAACTATGAAATCACTAAGATTTATTTTATACTTAAGAAATGTTACCTGATCCATGATAGACACCAAGGTGTGAGAATATAATACATAATTTGGCCCAAATTTGTTGGAAGATGTAGGAGTGGGGTGCTATGTAAGGGGTGGGGGCACCACAATTTACAGGAAAAGAGCTTTGTAACAGTCACCCAGAGCCACAGTGTCGTCAAGAACCTGCACGCATGGTTGAGAGGTGGTCCTGAATCAAACTTGTCGCTTGTTTCCAAAAAGAAAGAAATATTACTAAATTTTGTTATTTTAGGAGATTTAGGAAACATAAATTATGAGAGTAAATACAATTGTATATTCCTGCAATACTTTCTTTTGAAGTCAGAAGATCATCCCTGTTTTAGAATGTTTTCACACACTGTGATCATCGTAGCATTTTGGATGCGGGATTTGTAAGGGATTTCTCATAGTTTAGGCTGCATCCCTGAGCTTGTGAAGGGCTGTGATTTATGTGAAGCATCATAGAGTAAATGCTCCGCTCCTGTTTGAGTAGAGCACAAGAGTGTCCCCTCCTGAGTCACAGGTGAGAGTGCAGCCAGTCTTCTAAAGGCTTACTCCACACACAGCACCAGAGACCTGTTTGGTCGTCTGTGACTGAAATGCCAGCTAGTCGAGCCAGCCTCCTGTTGTGTGTATTGTTCACTTTGCTGGTAGTTCATTATGTCTCATTGGATAGCAGAATAAAATAGTGTCTCTGTGAGAAAAGAGGAGAGACGTTGTCTAAAATCATGCTTTTTCAGCCTTCTGTCTCCTTCCTACTTCCACCAGTTAATTTGTCTTTAGTGATTTAATTCCTGGTGGTGAGGGTTACAGCTGACTACCATAGTTTGCATGGTGATCAGATCCCCATTATGTAAAATTAATTTGTTTATGAAGAGATTATCAGCAAAACACCACAAGTATTTAAACAGATGACTGTTCATTTTGAAAATTAAGACTCAAAGTTGAACTTTAAGGCTGGTTAATGTTTTGTACCAATTTAAGGCTCAAGAAAAATTGCCTTCCCTACTTTCCCCTCTTCCTTCAAACCATTTCAGTTTATACCCTCATCATTGATAAGAATGGTCTATCTTTTAATGATTTTATATTAAGGCATGAAGTTTATTCACAACAGAAGTTTTTTTATTTTTATTTTACTGAATGGCATGATTATATTACCTGCTAGTTAAAAGTCCCCTAATAGGGTCACCATGAGTTGTCCTCGACTTGATGGCATCAAACAACAACAACAATACGAATGCTAGCTTTTCAGAAGTCCTGTGAATTACTTTCATTGGTTATACCTGTAACGTAGCTTACCTGGCGCCCCTGGAAAGTCTGTGGTCAGATGTCACTGAGCACTTTGGAGTTGCAGACTCATTTACCAGTGTGGAATCCGCTCACATTCTAGACACGTTTTTTCAAATGCCAGAAGAGAGGATCACATTGCTTCTAGGCTGAAACATATTTGTTCCTATCATAGCATGAACAGCAGAAAGTGGCATCAGTTAGGCATTCACCAGTGTAACAAAATATCAAATGAATGGCCATTTAAATAATAATTATAAGAAAGTCACTTATTTTAAAAGAAACATTATTCTTTTATCTATTCAAAATTATTTGAAGTTTGCCTACTGTAGAGAGTATGATTTGCTAACCAGAAGGTCAGCTGTTCAGATCTTATCAGTAGCCTCCTTCCGCTTCATATATTCGATAGCGGGTAACTATGAATCAGAGTCAACTTGATGACAGTAGGTCAGGTTCATACTTACAAAAAAGTAAAATAAGAGCCGGAAGTGTGTTTAGATGCTCACTAAAAAGAGGAAACCATGACATATGCCCCAGGGCCATGAGCATCTCTCTGAAAGGGCCGAGGGAGTAAGAAGAACACAGCTCCTCACTGGCCTAGAGCAGAAGGAGCCCGTAGCTGGGCCCCAGGGTGCCTGTAGAGCCCCACCAGCAGCAAGTGCTTCGTGTCTTCATTGCCGACTCGCAGGTTCATGCTATGGTATTAACAGTGGGGTTTATTAGGGTAAGAAAGTGGGAGAGTGTGAGAAGCAAAGAATATCACCCAAAATGAGTCCAGATTTTATTCCAGCAGTTCCAAGACACCACTCCTGGGTTAGAACAGGTTCCGGTTTCCATTCATTGTGCAGCTTTTCCTTCCAACAGCAAAGCCAAGAACAGCGAAACCCATCTGTGACCACCACAAATGCAAGAAGCCTCAGGTCACCTTGCCACTGTTTGCCCACAGCAGTGCCACAGTCTCTTCACCCCAGGTTCTCGTTCTTACCAGGGTTTTGCCTCCCTGAGCTTTATGCGCCTCAGGTCTTGCTGCTGAGTGTGGGAAGTACGTCACTTCTCCTAGTCCCACAGCTAAGGCTGATTTGCAAGACCGTGTGTCTGCAGTTAAGGTGGCTGGAGACTAGAGGTTAAATGACTTTAAAATGCCAACTTTAGTCTAACCCCACAATGCAGACCGTACCAAACTTCTGTTCTCTCCAGATACGACTCAGCTTCTTACATGGAAGTCCTGCTCCACTTGAGATCTGTTGGTTTGAGCATTTGCAATTCAAACCATAGCCCATTATGAATTTCTTAGTAAACATTTTCTACATTTTGCCATGTAGTTAGGTAGACAGATCACATTACCTCAAGTTTTTAAGACGATAATAACTAGAGTATAGACTTTTCTTGCTTCTTGAGTTAAAATTAACTAATAGAATACAGCATCTTATGCAAATGATCCTTTAACCTCTTATACAAGTAATCCTCAATTTATAATAAGGTTCCCTGTCACTGTCATAAATCAGTTCTGTCTGTCAGAAGTTGGATGCCTCAGTTTTCACTATTGCTGCCTTTTATTCCCAGTATCTTTTTAAATTCAGCTTTTTATTGGTTGGCATCAAGGTCTTGATAGTGAAGTCAACTCTGAGGCTTATGTGGAATTCAGTTGTTACATGTCATTACAGCTCTCGAGATCATCTTCATTTAGACCAGGCTCTAGCCTGCTCTGCTACATTGCCTTGAACAGGAAATCATCACAGTAAACTTCTGAGACTAAACTCCTGACAGCAGCTCAACAAACCACACACTGCAACATGTATGTAGGACAAAAAAAATTATCAGTGGCCTCATTAGAAACTAGTGCACCATCTCCCTACACACCCACACAGCTAGTTTTCCCCCTGGAGTTGGAAAAGGTTGCATTTTGGTTGAACACCAAATGAAATAAATGCCTTGTATTTAATAAGTAAATTGTATTAAAAATATGAATCATTAAATAGTAGTACAAAACTCTTATTTGCCTTTTCATTAGCTTTTAAAATAAAGTGTGAGGTGAGATTGAAGCCAAATTACAAAGATGGTCAAGAACTGGGCGTATGATTTAGTAGGAAGTGGGGAACCACTGACATTCAGGTAGTGTTATTGTCAGAACTGTCCTTTCCTAAGAGGACTGTCTGGGGGTGCGGCCAGGCTCGATAGGAACATAGTGCCTGAGCATGATCCGGAGGTGCTTTTAAGAGTGCACGCTCACGAACTGAGGAGTTGAGTGAGAATAGCCAGAGGAGAGAAGGAGAGCTGGTGTCTTAGAAATGAATGGATAGGACCTTTCACTGGGTAAGAAACAAGGTGTAAGAGAAATAGAGGTTGTGGAGATGTGGGCAGAATGACCTGGAAGTATTTGATACTGGAAGAATGCATCATAATTATCTAAGAAAAACAATTATAATGAGGAAGAGTCGGCAGGGTAAGGTCCTTCAGCTTCTCCTCTGCGACTGAACAAGTAATAAAATTCTACTTAAAACAGTGCTGACCTTCTAACTTCTTCCTTGTTATTTCCTCATAACATAGTTGTCTAAAACCCTCTTTTTAGACTAGGTTAAAAAACCTTCAAAGTCTCTTAGGCAATTCTAAGACCAACGGTGGGTTGTCTTTTTATTGAAATATTAGATTTATTCTGGTACAAATAATTGACCAGCTAGAGCCTAATCTTAATATGTCTGCTTCAAATATCTAGAACAAAGCAACTGAAGATTCCCAAGTCTAATCTGACTTCATCTAGCAATCCTCAGTAGACACGCTGAGGGGGTGGAACCCTTGCTGCTCGATTGCCCGCTAAAGCCTTTGTTACAGAGAAGCGAAGGTGCCGAGTGTCAAGTATTTTGCTTTTGTTAGTCTTTTTGCCTTAGATTTAGCAAAAGAGGTCCCTGAGTGAAAATGAAGGATGACAGAGGCCCAGGCTCATGTATCTGAAGCATTTACGTATTGTTTCTTAGTCCATGTCCAAAGGTGTGGTGGTGAATAGATACACTGGAGCTTCTGAAAATGTGCTGGTGCCACAAATTGTATTATTCACATTATTTACTTAAAGCAGTTTTTTCCATACCTTTCGCATACCTAAAATGAAAAGATTTGAGAAACCCATAAAAAATACCTCAGGGAGAACAAAACTTAGTGGTTGGCCTTAGAAGATCCAACATACGCTTATTTAAAGATACCGATTAATCATACTTGCTGAACATGTGCCAAAGTGGTGAATCTTTTAAACCATTTAAAGTCGTATTTGATTTGTAATCTCCATGTGGCACCAGAATATAAAGGCTGTGTGCACACTTAGTTCTCACTGGTCACATGGCTAAAATGTATTTCCATAGAAGCCTGGCCCTGAATCTCTCTCAGAGCATTGCTCATGCATGCACTTCAGCCAATGAAGCCAGGCCTTCAACATCAAGCTAGAGGTGGAGTTTTGTAATCCAGGAGTGGTCAGACTGCCCAGTAGCTGCCCACTCTCCCAGCCCAGCTCTCGATGGCACCTAACAGGTGAAAGCAGAATTCTCCCCTCAAACTCAGCTTAAGGCAAGACCAGTTTCAGCAAAGCCCCTGACGCGGGAATCCCTGATCTGCAGACCTAACTTGTATTCACTGCAGTCAGCCATCATCTGTGACCACTGAAAGTGGACATACTCTGGTAGTGTAGAATATGCTTACAAGTCAGGCCTACACGGGGGGGGAAAAGAAAATGCTAAAGGTCTCTGATAACTTGTAACTAGATGAAGGTATTCTTTATATGGACCTTTTTTAATTATTAATACCACTTTTCTCTAGGTTAGTAACACCGAAGAAGTCACCTTTGAAGCATTGAAGAAAGCAATTGGTGAGACTTTTTGGTGCTTTCTACCTCTCCTGTTTCCATAGCGCATCTTTAATGCTGTGTTGTTTTTCGATCCAGAGCCCACAGAGGCAACCAGGTGGATTCGAACTACCTTCTTTCAGTTGTCCGCACAGCTCCCTGCCTATAGGCCACCAGAGCCAGAGCTCCCATACTCTTTTTCTTTCTTTTTTAATATCAACAGAAAAAAATAAAACACTGTTGGTTTCTTTATAAATATCTCATTACTTTAGTTACACTCTAGAGTTTGAGGTGCCTCATCACCTCACAGAGGAGCTCCGGGCGTGTAGGCCATGGGAGTTGCTCTGCTGACCCCGAGGCCACAGGCTCCCGGGTGAGAGAAAGCTGAGCAGTCTCCTCCCCGGCTGTTTCCAGTCTCAGAGCCCGGGGGAGGATCAGCTATGAGACAGTTCTATCTCAGTGGAGTGAGCAATGAGATCGCGTCATAGACAATTCCCCCCCCCCCCCCCCACACACACACACACACACACACTGGCTTTCCTAGAGTCTGGTTCCTCAGTGTCTTAATGCGGCCCTTCTTTGGTGCTTAGAGCTCCAGGAATGGACTCTCTAGGCAGCATGAATGTGGAAGTCAGTGACAGAAAGGCATGTGAGAAATAGCCTCTTTCTCTGTTGCATGAGAATTCTGAGAAATGCTGGGAAATCAAAATATACGGATTTTATTGCACACATAGTATAATTAGGCATTTGTAAAAGAAGAGGAAGCAGCTGAGATTGTTAGCCTGTCATCTAAGGAAGTGAATTTGTCTGTGCCACCCGGCAGACTAATTTTTTTCTAATTATGATAGGTAATTTGCAATAATACCTGACCTTTCTCAACAGGTATTTGTAGCTTAACCTATTAGAGGATGTTTTGTTGTTTTGACACAATGTAAAATAGGCCAAAATAAAATTAATGCAATTCTGTAAACATTTTTTTAAAAAGACCCTTATATGCAGGATACTTTGAAAAGATTGAAAATTAACAAGATGTCAAGCCATTTCCAGTCTAAGGTTCTCATGATGGGGACTGTGGACCCCTGCAGGGCCTGTGGGAGACTGAGGTCACAAGTATGGTCATCACAAGAGCACGACCTCCTTTGTCCATTTGCTGTGTTGATGAGTAAAGGTTGTGGCACCCCACTGTCCTAATGGTGGGTGTTCTCCTCAGTAGGACTTCTCAGTAGCATCACGTACAGATAAAGAAACACAGCAAAGCAAAGTTTACTGGGGAATGTTTATGATGAAACAGTATAGAGTAATAATTTTACTAAATCACAGTCTGTTAGCACATATCTTTATAGGTTTCTGTATGATAAAATAAGGAGCTCTGGTGGCCTAGTGGTAAGGAGCTGTGCTGCCATCCCAAAGGTATGCAGTTTGAATCCCTCAGATGCTCTGCAGGAAAATGATGGGAAGTCTCCCCTCATGTGATTTACTGCCTCTGAAAACCCATGGGAGGGCCAGCTGTCAGCTCTGACGTGACGGTACACCGAAAAAAACTACCACAGTGGAATGAAATGAGAAACATACATAAAACACTGACCTCTCCTTTTTTACATGAACACCGTTTTTACTTAAAATAAAAACCAGGACAGACAGAGGCCCTCTGGTGATCGTCATGTACTGAGGTGACCATCTAGTTGAGGGTGTGGAGTGGGAGAGACAGTATTGCCGCCCATGATAAACTTAGCACTTTGGAACCAAAATTGAAATGCTGCAGCTTCCCAGTATTTGAGACTTTGTAGTGAGATCAGTGGTGATCTAAACAGATGTAATATTTTATAGTAAAATGTGTGTGATAAGGAAAGTCTGCATTAGTCCAGGAACCAGCATTCTCGACCACTGCATGTGATACAGAATCACTGTGAGGAAAAGAGCGACTCGGAGCGTGAAGTCACTGATGAATTTTAATGGAAGAGAATCCAAAAAGCTCCTTAATGAGTCTCTGATCCCACAGCATCGCTAACCTTTTGGAACTACCACTTGTCAAGGGTTGTAACATCGAAAGAGGAATATCCACAATTATGTGAAGTGCGTGTTAATATGTTTTTTTCAGTACTTATCTTCTCTAAGGCTGAGTTTTCTTTATACATATAACTTGCAGATTGGGTGTGTTTGCAAATAGGAGATTCCAGCTGCTTTCTATTAAAGCAAATTGTAAAGACCATCAGACAAATACAAAACAGTTTCACTCTTACCACACTTTTCCATTTAGAGAAATAATTTTGTTTCTGGTTCTTCTATTGAACAGTTATTTGTTAGCATACAATGGATCACACATCCAGCTTTTAAATGACTCACTATTGTTTAGTTTCTCAGTGAGAAGGCGTGGTAATTGAGTGACAGAACTCTCAACCCTCACTGTCTGAGACCCCAGTAAGATTTCCAACCAGACTCAGCTGTCACTGCAGGCTTGAATGCTGCTGTGATGTTAAGCAGCTTGCGGGGGAGCTCCGAGACCACACCAGACCAGGGAAGGAGGGCAGGGATCTACCACCCAGGTCAGCCAGTTAAACACTGGAATACAGCAGTCTCACCCCATTGTGCATGGCACGGCGTCTCCAGGAGTTGTCAGCCCACTTCACAGCGCCTAACACTCCCACCTTCTAATGTCAGAGTGTTGATAGGGACAATACACAAAACCACTCCGGTTTCTCAGTAACTTTTAGGAGTATAAAGGAGCCCTAAAACCAGGTTTAAAAACTACTTGTCTGGTTATCAGAAAGCAAACTTGTCCCCTACAGTCAAGTCTGGGCAGAAGCATTATGTTTAAAATGTTAGGATGTGGGGTATATGCCTCAGCTTGTCCACCTCCCTCACTTTCTGCTGCCCTGGCCCGAGAATGATGTTTCCTTCCTGACCCCAGCACACTTGGACCTTAGAACTATGATCTTGTTTAAGAGCAAAATCATATGAGACCTGATACAAATGCAAAAATTCACCAACTATGTTAGTCTGAAAGACATTTTCTCATTTCTGTTCTACCTGCTATTTCTGCTTCTAAGAAATAGCTGATTAGTACAGTTTAACATGAAAAGCAGCTTTGTTTTAAAGAGCCTTGACCATAGCACTCTCCATCTTTTAAAATTCATGATAACAGAGAAATAAGCCCATAATCACTGAGCTGTCACATAGCCCATCAGTGGACAGGCCACAGCTTCGCCTCCTCCCCACGCCACGTGACCAGAAGCATAATTACATCAGTTCCTTCATGTGCTTTAGCCCTATATAAGTCGATAGATAAGGAACTTTATTTATATGAGGCATTTTTTTTCTAGCCTTAAATAAAAAAGTTTAAAATGTTATGCCTTTGACTTTTTTTTAACCTCCAAAAAACCATTCTGTCAATGCCCTTATTTTTGATATGTAGATCATGTGCGCTCATTTGCTTTCATGATTTAATAAAGTCATGTATTCCTGTAATGTGTCTTTGTATGCCCTTACATAGACACCAGTGGAATGGAAGAACAGGAGAAGGAAAAGAGACGTCTGGTCATAGAGAAATTCCAGAAAGCACCTTTTGAAGAAATTGCAGCACAGTGTGAATCCAAGGTAAGTGACTAAAAAGGGGAGGTGAGGATTGCCTCCCCGGTAGTTCGGGAGTTTGATGGAGTAGTGTGTAACCAAAAGCCTCACTGGTTTGGTGATTCAGTCCACATGCAGTTCCATGGGAGAAAGTTGAGCATTCTCCTCCCGGGAGATTTGTACCCTCTTCACAAGCTGCTGGGGGCCCTGGGAAGAAGCTCCTACCCAAAGGCAGTGAGTTGTGGTTTTGTCCTTCCTTGGTGATTGCATCATAGGTCCCAAGCTTTAGGCAAATTAATAGGACATTAGACAATGTATAAAGCAGAGGCTGAAATCTCTGGAGTTGCAGCTGTGAAGCCCAAAGAGATATAGTGTGTGTGTGTGTGTGTGTGTGTGTGTGCGCGCGCGCACAGTGTAACCCTTGAAAATGGCAGATGTCAAACTAATTGTCGATACTGATGATTCTTGCTGCTTTAACCCTTTTTTCACCCCCAGTGGCTTTCAGTGATTTTGTTCCCCCCCCTCTCTCTCTCTCTGTGTTGTCTTTTTAAAGCACTGAGACTCTACAAGAGGTAGAGGGGGAAATCTTAGGTACAAGACCAGGAAAGCCACAACATGAAAACTCCCTGTATTATCAGCTTAAGAGCTAGTTTGTGATGACTTATCTTTTAAGTCACATCCATATTACATATGAACCCACTGTCCTGGAGCCAGTTCTGATGCGTCAGTCCTCCACCAGCTTTCCACAGCTGAGTCTTTCTAGGAGACGTCTCACCTTTCTCCAGTGGAGAAGCTGTTTGATTTGAACTGCTGACCTTCTAGTAAGCAGCACAACATGTTGTACACCATGCCTCTTGAGCATTATTTGTCACTATTTAGAAAATAATAAATCCTTTCTTAGTAGCTTAGTTATCTAGTGCTCCTATACAGATACTACACATTGGTGGTTTTAAAAACAGGTGTTTATTCTCGTACCATTTAGGAGGCTCCCAAGTACAGATCCAGGGAGCCAACTCCAGGGAAGGCTGGAGTGTTGGCTCTAGGGATGGTCTCTGAGCTTCTGCTCCTGGGAAGCTGCACATGGTTCGGCATCTCTCTGAGTCTCTGCTTTCTAGCATATGTTTAATCTCTGTTATCTCACATGACATCGACGCAAAATATGTCCTATACGAATCTCATCTCATGAGCATAGCCAAAAAGAGACCAGTTCTTAAACAGATTTAAAAGCACAATCTTGGAGTTTTGGACTTACAGCATAGTATTTTGTAGGGGACACTATTCATCCCTTAACATTTAACGTTCTTTTCTTTCTTCTTTTCAGGCAAATTTGCTTCATGATAAACTCACTCAAATATTGGAACTCACCATACGGTAAAGGCTTTTTTGTTACTATAACAGCAGTGACACAAGAGCATACTAGAAAATATTGTACTTTTGCAGATTTGTGGCTGATTATAATTAAGTGACTACTTTTTGTTTAGCCACGTGATGGCTAAACACAGGGGCTAGGTGTTTTTAACTTTTCTCTCTATGTAAGTATTCTATAAGGAGGGTGGTGGTGGTGGTGGTGGTGGTTGTTGATTGTTGATTGCCTTCGAGTCAAGCACGACTCATAGCGACTCCATGAACAAAAGGCCTGAAGCCCCTGTACAACTATCAACGTTTATCAGAGTTCATAGAGTTTCCGGAGACATGTTCTTTGGGAAGTGGGTGCCACTCCTGCTTCTAAAGGAGGAGGGTATCTGGGTAATTTGGAGACCTACATTCATTAATACTAGGTTTAAACAGGAAATTTTCCATATTTGACCATTTTTACCTGTAAAATCTACAGTTGAATGTGACTCGACCTCCTGAAACTTTCCACCTAAAATCAGGAGCAGTTTGTTTACTCTTAACAGTGCTAGTCATTGTTATACTGGAAGTCCTAGCCTATGCAATAAGACAAGAAAAAGAGTAAGAATGTAAAGATGGGAAAAGAAGAGATATGAGAATCCTAAAGAATCTACCCTTCCCCAAAAAAAGAAATAAAGAGACCTGCTAGAAGGAGTGAAATTAGCAAAGTCCCTGAATTCACGGTCAAAATTCAGTTCTGTTTCTTCATGTTAGCAAACGTTTGAGAATTGACATTTGATAACATAATACACTGTGACATAAAAATGCGAAGTATTATCCATATATAAATATATAATATCGCTACTACCTCTGTTATAAATACGGAATATCTGCAAAGAAAAAAACCCAGTAATCTAAATTAAGAAATATACTGCACTCATGGATTAAGAGGGAGATTAAGTAATTGTTTTTTTAATGTTATTTCTCCCTAAATTGATCCATAGGTTTAATAGTATCTCAATCGAAATAAAAATCCCACCAAATTTTTCTGGTAGAAATTAACTAACTGGTTCTATAAAACATGGAAATGTAAAGAAACTAGAGTAGACAAAACACAGGTCTGAAAGAAGCTTAATCTTTGCCAGAGATTATAATTTTAATATATTCAATATTTATGTGTGAGAGAAAGCACACAAATTCTGACAATACTAATTATAAGCATCTTGGCAAGATATCTCCCAAGGTCAAAGTTGAATATACTTTGATATAGGAACTCTCTTTGTAAAATGACATAAACATAAGACAATCTGTCAGGATAAAATGGCATAAGTATATGAATAGGCTTGTGAACATTATAATTTTGTGCACTGGATTACTCACTGGGAAGATAATATCAATTGTGCTATGTCCATAAAATTAAAAAGCATCAAAGAGGATAATATTAAAGATTTAGAAGGGGTCATGATACTAGAGATATTATGGCTAACGTTAGATGGATCTTAGCTGAAAGCAGGGAATGCCAGAGGAATGTCTTATCTGTGTTTCATTGACTATGCAAAGGCGTTTGATTGTGTGGATCATAACAAACTGTAGCTGACTCTGAGAAGAAGCGGAATCCCAGAACACTTGATCGTGCTAATGAGAAACCTATACTTGGACCAGCAAGGAAACACTGCCTGGTTCAAAATTGGGAAGGGCGTATGCTAGGGATGTGTCCTGTCTCCTTACCTTTTCAACCTGTATGCAGAACACATTATCTGGGAGGCTGGGCTCTATGAGGAGAAATGTGGGGTCAAGATTGGTGGAAAATCTCTCAACAATCTGCGTTATGCAGATGACACAACCCTGCTTGCTGAAAGTGAGGAGGACATGAAGCGCCTGCTGCAGAGGGTCAAGGACTGCAGCCTTCAATATGGATTGAGGCTCAATGTCAAGAAGACAAAGATACTCACCACTGTGCCAATTGGCAGCATCAGGATGGATGGTGAAGAGATTCAGATTGTTCATAGCTTTTGTTTGCTTGGCACCACAGTCAACACTCTTGGCACCAGTAGCCAGGAAATTAAAAGGTGTATTGACATGGGAAAGTCTGCTGTTAGGGACCTCTCCAAAGTACTGAAGAACAATGGTGTGTCTCTGGAGACTAAGGTGCGTCTGATCCAGGCCATGGTCTTTGCTATCACTTGTTATGCATCAGAGAGTTGGACATTGACTAAGGAGGATAGAAGAAGAATTGATGCCTTTGAGCTGTGATGCTGGAGAAGAGGGTTGAGAGTACCATGGACTGCTAGGAAAACAAAAGAAATTCATCCTGGAGAGGGTTAAACCAGGCTGCTCCTTGGAGGCAAGGATTCTGAGGCTCCGTCTAACCTACTTTGGACATTTTGTAAGGAGGGACCGGTCCTTGGAGAGGGACATCATGCTTGGGAGGGTGGAGGGACAGTGCAGGAGGGGAAGGCCCTCTATGAGGTGGATTGATTCAGTGACTGGGATAATTGGGATGGATATGTCAGAGATGGTGTGATTGGCACAGGACAGAGCAGAGTTTAGGGCTGTTGTACATATTGGGTCACTTTGAGTCGCAAGCGACTTGACAGCACAGAACAACAACAACAACAACATTAAAGATTTATTCCACTAGTGAAATAGTGCAGCTTATAAAATCAGATGCAGAGTGTACATATTTATATGCATAAATATATTCATGTGTATATTTTACATACATATATTCATTGAGAAAATACCTGTTTCAAACTTTAAAAATAGCTTGGCATATTCCTAGCTACTGCAGTCTGTTTTTCGTATGATCACTGCAGTTAAGAGAGCCCTATCTGCTGTTTGCTGAGTCTGCGCATGGGCCCCAGGACCACTGCCTGGTACAGCAGGTCACACCGGCTTCTGGTTTTCCAATTGTATCGAGCAGTCAAGGTCATTGCTGCCTATGGTATGTGCAGTACAGTGGCAGTATGAAAAAGTTTAATCTATTGTGAGAATTACCAAAATGTGACAAGCACAAAATCAGCACATGCCAGCGGGCCTGCTTGATACAAGGTTGTCAACCTTCATTTTATTTTTGAATCAAAAACCCAGTGCCTCTGAAGTGCAAGAAGTAAAATGAAGCCCAAGAATGTGAAGTTTGCCTGTAGCGAGTCGTCGGCTTAGTGAGAGGAACAGCTTTTCAATGCGCCTGTTGACTCTGTCCTGTTCTTGCCTTGCAGTCCTCCTCCAAGTCCTTCAGGAACCCTGGCCATCAGCTCCGGGCATGCCCAGTACCAGTCCGTCCCAGTGTATGAGATGAAGTTTCCAGATCTCTGTGTGTACTGAGATGTTCATGAAGACCTTCGCAGACGACTTCTTCGCCTAAAAATTAAGGCCGGCCTGAGTGGTCAGAGTTGACTTAATGCATTTTAACACACTGCTTAAAAATAATGATGGGACTTGCCTAACCGAAAGCCTAGCGCGTACTGTACTAGAAATTAAGAGGATACTTCTGAAACTAGATTTATGCCGTGACCATTTCCTTTGAGGTTCCAGCACTTTTTAAAATCTAACGTATACTGATCTTACATGATTCCACTCCTAAAAAAAATACATTTTAAACTTTCCACAAATAATTTTTTTAAAGTAAGCCTTCCACAGATTAAAATGTATGAAGTGACTACTGTAAATGCCTACACAAATGCTTAGGCCTAGAATTGCTTTCTTGTCATCTGTAAAAGCAAGCACCCAAGTATGCCACTCCTCTTCCTGGGGCTGCAGAAAGGACCTGTGGCTTTTGTCCTGTGCTCTCATCCGTCCCGATAACCCTCGCTGTGTGATAACTGTTACAGCAGTGATAGGGCCTCCCCAGACTCGTTTACAGTCAGAAGACATCTAGTGAGCCGTATTCCTACACTCGGACCTTACAAATCACTGTACTTACAGCGCCTGGTTCTTGTCGTGCTATTTCCCTGCCGAGTCTGACTCTTCACTTGAGAGGCTCAGAGCTGCTTCCTGGAGCACCGAATCGTGCAATATTTTTACATCATAAGATGTATTAGTTTACAGGCTATGCTTTGAAATTATAGTTGTATTTTGCTGTGGCTTCATTAAGTAAATGAGATATATATTTAGTATAGAAAAGAAAAAGATGTTTTAAAACAGCTACTGGTTCACCTGTGAAGAGTCTGCATATTTCTATTTTTACGAAGAGCACATTTACATTTTAATATTGGATGTAGTTTTAAATCCTTAGAGTGAAAAAACTTCCCTATTCAGACATTTAGTTTTTAAGAATTAAACCATAATTTGTATGCATGTCTGTTTAGGGGTAGTCATGTTAACATTTGTAAGGAGAGCCTATGGTTTCAACAGTCAAGTTTGCCAAGGATCACCTGCTTAGTTAAGCTTCAGCTGATCCAAACTACAGTTGACATAGCTGTTGTACCCACACGTCAATAGACAGTGTTTTCTTAACAGGGTGCGTATTTTAGTGAATTATGTGGCACAGAAATGCAACTTCCTTTGCAGCTCATAAAATTATCTTTAGACTTTTTTTTATAAAGTCACCTGTTTATAATCCTGCCTTTTCAAATTAGATTTCTTTTTACATAAAGTAATTATAAACTTAAATTATAGCTGAAAATCCAGTTTTGTGTTTGCTTTTGTTTTTGTTTGGAAAACTGCATTAAAGAATGGGATGTTATAGCTTTGTGTTTATGATTATTTACCCTGTGTAGAAGGAACAAAACATGAGGAAGTGATAAAGCGAGCAAGTGATAAAGCATGCTTTAAAGGACTTGAATATTTAAACCAAAGCAACCTTTTCTCTTGAAACATCACAGCGAGTCCAGTCTCTTTAAACCTAGGAAGATATTGATCCATTTTGGACGGCTCTTTAAATAGAAATCAACAGGAACTATTGTGCTCACAGTGGCAGTCTTGTCAGCACTGGAAGATATAATAGTGCATCTGTCACAGAATGTCACCTCCTGGTCAAGAAAATCGTTTCACCATTGCATAGGCCAAGGTTTATTTTTGGATTTAGTTTTGTTTTCATTTCTCTGTTTATCTTCTGTATTTTTAAAGAAGCCTATTAATTTTTGACTTTTTTTTTTAATGTTAAGCTGAGGGACATGCAAAAACAATCATCATCCACTTGGATGTCATTTTATGGATTAACACTGTGTGCTTTTGTATGAAAATGATATATAATTTAATAGCATAAGAAGAGAAGATATATATTCGTTTACACTCATGCAGAACACAAACTTTGCCCTATAAAATCTCTTGTTTCCCTGATGACTGCATGGATTGCATGCAAAGGGAGACCATTAGGAGTAGTGTACCACACCATTCCCTTGGTCTGTCTGTCAACTGTTATTTCAGTTTTATTGTGGGGGGATTTCGTTTACGTGTTTCCCTCATAGTGGACCTCTGTACCTGTGCTCGCTGTACCCAGGATACAGGGACTCCTGAGCGATGGCCCTTTGCTTCGCTCCCTCCCATGTGTGGAGACGCTGCAGGTAATGTTTCCTTGTATACTGTATTGTAGCCAGGTTGGACTTGTCGACATCCTCTATATGGCTTTATTTTCATAGCTATTTGACACTCTTAATAAACTGTTAATCATTCTCTTTTTTTGCTGATGATATCCTTTATCTTTTTCTTGGTATTGAACAGATACCCTTTAAAGGTTTTTCTTTTGTGTTGTATATGACAGCTTATCTCTGAAGTTTCTCTGAATACGCATGACGTACTCAGAAAAAACACATACAAACGTCCTTCACACTTTTGATCACACCATCTATTAGAATAGTAATGCTGCATTGGACCAGTACCAGAATATTAACATCTCCCCAGAATGTATCATCTTCACCCTCTGAAAATGGGGTTGATTTTATGTATTGATGCTGAGATTTGTAACATCATGGATTGAGTTGTGTCTTTTAAAGTACATGTCCCTGTGGAAAGTGTTATATGGTTAGTCTCCCTTTTGTGATGTCTTATAAATCTTTACCTCCATGTGTTGTTCTAAAGGAGCTCTGGTGACTTAGTGGTAAGGAGTTAGGTTACCAACGTAAAGGTGTGTAGTTCGAATCCACCAGCTACTCTACAGGAGAAATAGGGACACTCCCGTGTGATTTACTGCCTCTGAAAACCCACTGGATGCTCAGCTATGCATCGGTTCCAACCAACAGTACTTAACAACAGTGAATGTTATGTGTTAAGGAGGCAGAAATCACTGCTGGATTTATCTTAAGAAATGTATGACTCAAATCATGCCTTTCTCAAGTCACATCCTTATTTAAGTCATCAGAGGCTGGTGGGGTCCAGGGTCTTCCTTTCCAGAGGAGCGCCAGCTCTGGGTTCAGATCAACCCAGTTCCTAGATAAGTGGCCTTAACCAAGGCCTATGTGTAGTTCAGCCCAAATTCTGGCTTTAAATGAGCACAAGACATTTTGTCCATGGGCAGCTAATGAACCAGAGGTGCCTGCACAGCGCCTGCCTTCAGTGAAGGTTTTTCTTAATGATCCCTGGTGTTCACTGTCCTGAGACCATGGAACCGTCCAGCTGTTGCTCTGCTCACAGGCCGGTTGTCCCAGGACTGGCTGTGTGATCCTTGCTTCAAGCTTGTACCTCGCAATGAGCCCGTTGCTCTTCTCAGCCCACAGGTCACTGAGTTTGGTACCAAGAGAGTGAATAAGAAGCCAAGGAGGTGCCAAGATCCCAGAGATGGCCAGGGGGTCGTGCACACGTGTGAGCCGGTACTGGGGTGAGGCCTGAGCTTGAGCTGCAGGCACTGTGGTCATCAGCAAGCTGTGGGCCAGGGAGGGCTGTCCCCTGCACGAGGACAGGCTGTGGGGACAGGGGACAGGGTCCCAGCACTCGGGCTGTGGGCCAGGGAGGGCTGTCCCCTGCACGAGGACAGGCTGTGGGCAGGGCGACAGTATCCCAAGCCCTGCCCCAGTGCTGGAGGGTGGGTACGGAGAAGGGAGCTGAACAGAGGAGTGGCGAGTACTCGCACTGGGATCATCCTGAGAGAGGTGAACCTCGGGCCTTTTGAGCATCAGGGTCCTTCCTGCCGTTCATTGATGAGCCTTACCCGAAGGAAATGGATACAGGGAACAGACACTTGGTGTTATTCCATTCCGAGGGAGGTGATGTCTGCAGGAAAAATATGGGTGGGGAGGCATCACCTGATGCCTCTCATTGCTATCGGGTAGGAACCAACATGTAGCTGACCCTCCAGAGGGTGTCCAGAGGCCGTAAGTAGGACGAGGAGATTGCCCATCTTTCTCCTGTGGAGCAGCTGGTGAATTCGAACCACCTGCTTTGGGGTTGGCAGTGTGACTTCTCACCAGAGCTCAGTGTGTAACATGGACCGTAGCGTTCAGACTACCCACCAAGAGAGTTGGCCACTGGACCCCACCCGCTGCCCTGCGGGAGATATGGCAGCCCCTTCCTTGGAGACTTGCAACTGGGGACACCTGGTGGGGCGCTGCATGGGGCTGACTGGACGGCAGTGGGGTCTGGAACTTAATCGTTCAGCCAAGGAGCCCTGGTAGTGCTGCAGTTAAGTGCTTGGCTGCTCACAAAAAGGCTGGCAGTTTCAACCCCAGTGCCCACGAAAGAAAGGCCTGGCGGTGCACTGCCGACAAAGCCCCAGCCTCTGGGACACAGCATTGTTCAGCTCAGCGAGGATCAGGGTCAGTCACAGCCTCAGGGACATTGGGCGGTTCCTCTCTGCAAGAATGGGGTCATGGTGGCCCCAGCACCTGGCTCCTTCCAGCCGTCCCTCTCCCCAGAGGAGGTGGCGGTGGCGGGGTGGTCTCTCCCACGGGTGTGGGTGACAAGTACCATCCCGGGCTGCCCACTCCCTCCTTGAGTGAATCGGGCACCACTGACCGGCTTCCGGTGCCTGTCATGGCCTCAGAACTTATCAGTGTCTTCCCTGCCCTTTAAGTGGAAGAAAAAGCAACTTTCAGTGACTAAGAAGTTGAGTGGGATTTTTTCCTGCTGTTACCTCACCATTGCAATCTATTCCTGTGTCAGTATCTACAATTAAATGCTCTTTTTTAAAGAAAGGAAACGGCCACCCCCATGCATTGCTTGGCGTGTTTATTGTCTCCATGGTGCCTTACAGGAGGGGAGGCTGCCGTCACCGCTGCCAGATGGACACCCGTGGGCCTGAGGGTGCAGCCCCACCTTGCCAGGCCGAGCAGGTCACGGCCTCTCTGTCCCTTTGAACCTCTGCAAGGTGGAGGCTATTGTCCCACTGGACACCTGAGACCGAGTCCCCCCGAGGTGAAGGAAACGGTGCAGGGCTGTGTGGGTGCCCGCTTGCCGACAGGAAGCTGTCTACCATGGAGTGGCCTGGTACCCACGGGGCCAAGTGACCTCCTCACAGATCTCCTGGTTCTTCTCAGGCCCTCCTCAGGGGGCATGGCCTCCTCGCTGTTCTCCTCGGAGCTGGAGCCCAGGGAAGAGGCTGGAGGTCCTGCAGGCGTGGTGTTCTCACAGGGGACATGGTGGCCCTGGCACTCCTGGTGACCTGGGGACTTGAGGCTTTGGTTAAAGGAGGCCACGGCCATGCACTCGGCTGCCGTCTGGTCACAGCCACACAGCAGCTTCTCGCAGAGGCTCTGCCCCACACCTGAGGGCAAGAGCACAGGGCAGAAGTGAGGTGGTCGGCTGGCGGTGAGGCCCCAGGACTTGTCCTCTGTCCTCCACCCCCGGGTGGGCTCTCCTGACAGCTCGTCCTCCGTCTCTCCACCCCCAGGTGGGCTCTCCTGACAGCTCGTCCTTCGTCTCTCCACCCCCGGGTGGGCTCTCCTGGCATCCCACAGGCACTGATCTTGCAGCTGCCATATGCTTACTGTTTCTCTCCCTGCTTAGGAAGCTCTTTTGGCCTAGTGGTACGAAGTTGTACTGCAATACCAAAGACATGTGGTTTGAATCCACCAGCTTCTCCGTGGGAGAAGGATGGGTAATCTCCTGTGTGATTAACTGCATCTCAGAACCCACTGGAGGGTGAGCTATGGGTCTGTTCTGACTCAGTGGTACACAACAACACTTAACCCATCCTTGTCTGTCAGGATTCGCATAGAGTCTTCCCTGGGCTCCTGGGCTAATCGCCCTTCCCAGAGGGTCCCATAGAACATCCTTTCTAATTCTTTCCACCATGGAAGCACCTGCCTCAGTTTCCACCTTCCCCTTACTCTGGAGGCAGAACCATGACGGTGGTGCCCACATATCCTGACCACTCCATCTCAAACAGATGTCCCTGCAGTTCATGCTGCGCCCAGATCTGGGGATCGCCTGCTCCCTTGCTCTGGGCCAGAGGTTCCCATTCCGCTAATGGTGACTTGACTGCTTGATTTTGAGCTTACCAGATAAAACATAGGATGCCTGTTTACATTTGAATTTCAGATAAATAATGAGTTAAAGATGTTCCAAATGTTGGGTAGGATGTGCTGATGTTGCAATTCTGTTGGCTCTCTTTCTGAAATTAAATTTCTAATTTAACTGGGGGTTATATTTTTACTTACTGAATCTGGCAACAGTGTCTCTAACGTTCCCGCTGTGGGGGGAGGGATGGTAGTGTAAGTGTGGACAAGGGGTCACATTAGGAGGTCACACACGGTGTTAGTGTGAACGAGGATCTTTTTCCTCCAAATGCCGACCGACTACCGCTTTCCCGCACAGGGGGCTTGTGGGGGGCGTGGTCATTTGTCACCCACCAGGTGTGACCTGGGGTGACTCTCTGTGTGCTGAGTGGAACTCCACACAAGGCTGGGCACGGGCGCTTTGGGAAGCAGGTCAGCCGGCCTTTCTTCAGGAGGATCTCTAGGTGGGTTTGAACCACCAACCTTCGAGTAAGTAGTTAGATTCTACCAGGGACACCTCTTGGGTGTGGTAAGGTCTTGATACGTGTCTTTAAGGTTAAGAAGAAGCTGAGGTCATATTAGAAACTAGGATGCTCGGGAGGGTGTCAGCTAAGGAGCTCCTCTCAGTGCGGACTGGGCGGAAGGCGGGCGTACACTGTCCGAACTCGTGGCACTTACACTTGGGCACATGGTCCACACACGCCGCCCGTGACCGAGGAGGCCCCTCCAGCAGACAGCCCAGCCTCTTCAGTTGCTCCAGACAGCAGTGATGGGACAGACAGCACCTAAGACCACGGGAGCCCCTTTACCACCCAGAGCTCACAGACCCCCTCCACGGAACCCTGTCCACAGGAGCCCCATCCACGAAAGCCCCTCCATGGGAGCCCCAGCCATGGAACCCCATCCACGGGAGCCCCTCCATGCTGCATTCTCCCACACTCTCCCTGCCACGCATGTAGTGCCAGCTGACAGACACGTTAACAGCCACTGTGTGGATTGTCCAGGTGTGTCCAGCCTGCCATCAATCACATCACTGTGGACTTGCAGACTAGGAGGTCGGCAGACTTGTTTCAACAACTTCCCACCAGGATGTTCCTCAAATCCAGCTCAAGGTGGGGCCCTCCGTGCCCTCCTCGGTGGCCCCACAGATCACACTGCACTAGGTGGTGGTTTTCTGTGAGGGATGCACTATCACTAAGGCCCTGTCAAGTGTGTCTGTCCTGTTCATTTAGCCTCATCACTTTGTATTCACAACACTTGGCAAGAAATGCAAATTGAATGAACATAGGACAGAATGAATGAATGAAAACATCTGTGAGACCAGTGAAAGCTATGTCAAGGTGGAGGATGCAACACTGGGCAGTCTCTCTTAGTTGCTAAGTTCCTTCGTGTGGCTCCCTGCAGGCAGGACACGCAGATGCCTCAGTTCCAAGTGTTGTCTGTTGCTAAAGGGACAGATGCTGTCTTCCTAAGTGTCTGAAGGCACATGTGAGGTTGGAAGAGACCACCCCCTACCCCGCCCCTTCCTTGCTGAATGTTCCCACTCCCCTCACCCCTGAGCCTCAAACTGCTCATCAGGAAAGTGGGCACAGTAAGACCAAAGAGCCCCCAGCGTGACAATGCACCCAACAAGCTCCCCAAGAAGCCCTGTGGAAGGCGGAGGGCAGGTTGTCTGGAAGCAGCAGTAGCATCCCCATCCCCTCACCCACCTGTCCAGGTCATCCCTGGGGTCGCCTCGTCCCTCTCGTCCACAGTAGCAGCCATGCGATTCAAACTCCTCCGGGCAACGGGACGTCAGGCAGAAGAGCATCTCTCCAAGCTGTAGCATCCCCTGTGTGTGCGCCCCACTTCCCAGGTGCAGGAAGGTAAGTCTGTCACAGGCTGAGGACAAACAGCCGCTCTCAGGAGAGCAAGGAGCACTGACAGCCTCTCCAGGAGGGGGTGGCCCTCCAGATGGCATCACAGCAAGGGGACAGGCATGCATGGACATGTGCCAGGGCCTTAGTGCCAGGCTTTTGTTGGCCCGAAACCTAGTCATGGCCTCTGGACTACACCTTATGAGCACATGAAGTGTCTTCATGCCCCAGGCCCTGCACGATGTGTCACACCTGCCCCCACCAGCTCAGGACCCGGGGACGGCAGCCCTGATGGCAGAGCGCGTCAGTTATTTTATTCCCTCAGCACTGCCTCTGCTCTCAGCCCGCACCTGAGGGCCTGCACCTGAGGGGCCTGCACCTGAGGGGCCTACACCTGAGAGGCTTTCACCTGAAGGACTTCAGATTGAGCCTGCAGAGCATGTACCTCATTTCAGAGCTGGTAAGAAAGGGCTGAGAAGCAAGTGCTCCTGTCTTTTTATCTCAAATCCTCTTTCCCCAGTAGCATGGCTCTGGGCATGTGGAGGGCTTAACCACAAATCAGCAAATTCCCTGTCTGTTCCCCTGCTGGCCGTGCTTCCTGTCGGTGCAGGGTCAGCAGGAAGGGGGACAATAGGAGGGTTCTTAAAGCTCTAATGCCCCGTCACTCCCCAAGTGAATGGTGTGTCTTATGCTGAGATTACTCTAGAGAGTATGTGGTTAGAAGACTCATTCTTCCCAAGCTCACTGGCTACAGGTACATGACTCCCCAAGAGCCTCCACGTGCTCACACAGAAGGTGGTGACAGCGAGTTCACGCCAGGAAGAGGAGGTCGCGATGCGTGGCCAAAGGGCATGGAATCCAGTAACCAAGGTGCCACGACCGGGGGAGGGCAGCCCCCCCCAGAAGTCCCCCACTCACCTTGTCCCTTTGTCTCCTCAGGCCCACTTTTGAGGGATGGCACATCCAACCCCAAAGCTTTAACACCAGCAGGGACCATGGTGACATCCTTAGGTGTGACAGCAATCTCGGCAGACCCTGAAGATGCACAATTATGGTCCATATTCAGAAACTGGCTCAATGGAGGCTCGTTGACGGATACGGTCGATGACAGATGGAAAAAGATGGACTTTGAGAGTTTTCCCAAACTCTCTGCGCAGCATTGAGACAGGTTCCCAAGCTGCGCTCGGCACAAGCACTGTCTGTGATTGTCTGGAGCAAGGAGCCTGCTCTGGACCAGCTGAGGAAAGCGCACAGCTGAGAACCATCGCAGACACAGGCCTCTCAAGTCCCCACTGGTACCACATCCCCGCCAAGGGAAGGGCCAGGGCATCAAGGAGACGTACGAAGAAAGGAGGTCAAACCACGCGGCCGATAACGAAGGGAGGCAAGAGCTGACTCAAGCCCCCTCCTTCATCACTCAAAAACTGCCAAATTTCTGTCCTCAGACTCCGGATTAATTGTGAGGTCCTTCGCACAGTTGCCAGGCTGCATGCAGCCTGGCCTGCCTCCCATACCAACCTCATCTCCTGCCCTCTCCCAGCATTCCCTCCTCACGTCTCCCACATCCCCTCCTATCTGGAGGGAGGCAGTGAAACATCCAGCCCGGCTGACCCCGGCAGAGACATCATCTGCAGGTTCAGCCCCAGCGGCCTGCTGGCCCAGCCCCTGCTGGCTGAAGCCTGGTCATCTGCTCTGAAAGGCAGTCTTTCTCCAGCTCCACCTTATTGTCCTGCTTCGTCCAGCTGGCCTTCTGCTTCCCCTTGTTTCATGTCCTATTTCTGTGAGACCAAAGCCCTGCTGTAACTTCGGTTTCCTGGTGTAACCACCCACGGAGCTCTCCATCTCCCAGAGAATCAGATTCTTCCTGTTGGGCTCCCAACTGCCGACTGCCAGAGGCCCAGCAAGTGAGGCGGGGGGAGAAGGAGCACAGTCAGGGCGAAAGGAAGCTGAGTCTCAGTTTAGCTCAGACGTACACTCAATGCTACAGAGCCTCTTGCCTTGGACAGGTCACACTCTTTTTCCATTTGTAAAACGATAACAAGTACACCTTTTTTGTGGGTGGGAAAAGTCTTGCTTGCAAAATGCCTAGCAAAGAGTCAGACCAACAGGACCACTCAGAACATTAAGCATAAGGACACAGTGCATCACAGCACAGAAGCTTCTCATGTCTCAGAAGCCCGTGGTCAGGCCGAGTCTCCACCTCATTCCTTTAAGCTGGGAACTCTGTGCAGTCCTGGCCACAGAGAGTCCTGGCCACAGAGAGTCCTGGTCTCAGAATCCTGGTCTCAGAATCCTGGTCCCAGAATCCTGGTCCCAGAGTCCTGGCCACAGAGTCCTGGCCACAGAGTCCTGGCTACAGAGTCTCAAAGTGAGGGGCCAGCTAGCCCAGGCTAGGCACAAAGCATCACTTGAATTTTCAGCAGAGAAAAGAAAAACAAGCTATCACTTTTTGCTCATTAAAACAGGTTTTTGTTTTTTCACTCATTAAAACAAGCTTTTGTTTGCTTGATTTTAAATAGTAGAACTGAGTATGAAGAGGACTTGAAGTGTTTGCTAACAAATGACCCAGGACTATAGCTTTCAATATGGACTACAGCTAAACATAAAAAAAAACACCCAAAACTCCTCACCATTGGATCAATAGGCAACATCATAATAGACTGAAGGGAAAAAAAATGGAAATTGCCAATGGTTTCATTTTAGTTGGATCCACCATCAACATCCAGGATTAACCACAGTCAAGAAACCAAGAGATGAGTTGCATCGGAAAAATGTGCTGCCAAGGACCTCTCCAAAGTACCAAAGAGCAAGGCTGCCAGTTTAAAGACCAGGATGTAAAAGGGATGTAAGCCTGGCCCAAGCCATGGTCTTGTCAATTACTTCCTGTGTGTGTTAAAGCCGGGCAGTTAGTAAGGATGACAGAAGGAACACTGATGCCTTTGGGCTGTGGTGTTGGAGAACAGCACCGAACATCCCATGGACGCCCAAGAGAACAAGTCTATCTTGCAAGACGTGTAAACAGCGTGCTTCTTCGTGGCAAGGATGGTGAAATTTGGTCTCACAGACTTTGCGCATGTCGTCAGAAGAGGATAGTCCTTTGAAAGTGATGTCATGCTGGGAACAGTGGAGGATCAAAGAGAGAGACCCCAAGCAAGACGGACAGACACAGTGACGGTATCAGTGGGCTCCAGTGTCTCTAAGTTAAGGATGGCACAGGATAGGGCGGGTTCAGATCTGCTTGTCCCTAGGGTGACTTTGAGTCTTGGGCAACTTGCTGGCACCTAGCCGTGGAGAACTCAGTATTAGAAGGATCTCTGGTGGTGCAGTGGAGAAGCACTCGGTGCTAACCTTCAGATGAACCATGGGAGCCCACTGGTGGCTCCCCGGGAAACCTGGCTATCTGCTCCTGTGAAGAGTACAGACGAGGAATCGCTGTCACAGGGGTCACTACCATGCAATGACACCAACACCGAATCTAACAGAACATGCACAGGAGAGCCAGCTGGCCCAATTCTTCCCCGGGCAGTTTGGCAACATATCAAGAGCTGGATCCTTTACTCAGTAATTCAGCGTGTAGGCATTTATCCTTAAAATATTCATCAGGAGAAGATGGGCATAGAGTTCCTATCTATTATTTATAACAACAAAATGTGAGCAATAATTGGTTCGATAAATTATGTGGTTGCACATGAGGAATGATCACACAGTCACTAAGTCCTGCAAGTGTAACAGAAGAGTCCTCCAGTTCCCTGCACACGGCAAACACCCCGTCACCAAGGTGGTCTCACTGGCCTCCATTTATGTCCACAGAGATGCTTGCGGGGGAGGGGATATAGGAAGAAAGGCGCCTTTAAATATTAACAGTGTCTGTGTTTAAGTTGTGGAATTACAGATGATTTAAATGGAAAACTCACTGTAGGTTTCTGGGTTTTCCCAATGCGTCTGTTTACTGGAATAGGCCTCCATTGCACCATGATCTTAGGGTTCTCTTTCCATTCCACTTATTTATTTTGGAAAAAAGTAAATAACTGGCTTCAGTGGAAAGCTTTGGTCCCATTTTGAACTTAGCATTTTCCCCACCACTCATTTGTTTTTTGATCAGTTACTGGTTCAGGTCAGTTGATCTGAATTGGACCCACACGACTGCATGTGTGCCCCAGTAGAACCGCCCCCCCCACAGGGATTCTAAGAGTTGCTTTTTCAGAAGTGGATTGTTGGCCAGGCTTTCTGAGGTGCTTCTGGGTGGTCTTGAACCTCCATCCCAAGCATTAGCCCCCAAGAGCACTGACCATCTCCGCAAGGCCAAACTCCGTAAAGGGCAATGGTGACAACATGCAGAAGGACAGGGGAAACCGCCCGTGCACTTACCCGGAGGGGAGGTGGCTCCAGCAGCTTCCGTGACTTCTGGACCTCGGCCTGGCTCTGCTCCTGAAAGAAAGCAAGCAGGCTGAGCAGTGGGTGCCAACCCCAGGCTTCCCCCAGCAGTTCCTGAGGCACCCGGTCTCCCCCAGTGTTTCCTGAGGCAGCCCCCCATTGCTGAGGGGGTTGTCCCACCTCTCCCAGGGAGCAGTGACAGCTGAGCTGAGGAAGCCCAGGCCCAGCTTGCCCAGAAGAGCCCACACCACAGTTCGAACCAGGGCGTTCACAGAAATGCATTAGGAAATTCACTTCTTGGGAATCTGGGGTGTGTTGTTGTTGTTGTTGTCGTCGTCGTCCTTAGGTGCCATTGAGTGGAGTACGACCCACAGTGACCCTAAGAACAACAGATCTGGACCCTGTCCCATCCTGTGCCCAGTCACACTTCCTGATACCTTCGGGCCATTTGTGGCAATCACTGGGTCAATCCCCCATCGGGGGTGTTGGATTAAACCACAAGCACATTTCTGAAAATCACAGTTTAGAAGTGGAGGAGAATGTAGTGTGAGGCAGTGGGCAGTGTGGTACAAGTCGCTGGCCCTGCGGCCGTCTGAGCACTGTCGGGCCCATTTCTCTGCCTGGATGGTGAGAGTGGTGGGGTTGCTGTTGTGTTGCTCGGTTACTAAGTGTTTGCTCTTTCAAGGTAAGAAGCATTGTCTCATATACTTTGGGTATGTTGTCAGGAGGGGCTGGTACTTGGAAGGGGATGGCATGCTGGGAAACGTGGAGAGTCAGATAAAGAGAGCAAACCCTCAACAAGACGACTGACACAGCGACTGTCCCCGTCAGGAGTCTGAGTGGATCAGGGATGATGAGGACACAGGGCAGGGTTCAGAGCCACTGTTCACGGGGTCACTATGACCCCGTTCTCAGCTCAATGACCCTTAACAACAACAACAGCCCGGAGCCAGATATGGCGTCGCTAGGTGGTGCATATTAGCACATTCTACAGCTTGTCACACGACTGGGGGCTTGCGTCCACCCTGACACACTCGGAAGAAGGGCCTGGTGACCTGCTTCTGGTGAATCAGCCATTGCAAACCCTCTGGGGTCCAGTTCTGCTCTGATAAGCTTGCAGTCATGTGAGCTGGAGTCCTTCAACTGCAGCTGGTTGCTTTGAAACTGTGCTTATTAACAAGGGATGCCTGGCTCTCAGTCGCCAAGGCGCAGTAAGTGGTCGGGTTCGTCCTGCTGACGGAGTCCTGACCTAGGTGATGTCGGGGGTGAGATCCTTCTCCTGAACATGTAACGGGAAGGAAGCAAGACCACAGCCACAGGTGTGGGTTGTGGTCTGGCTTCGAACTGGTCTTCAGCCTGGACCTCACTTCCCTACACCTTCTCTAAAATGGATGTAAGTGTATTTAGCCTGGCCTCTGCCAAAAAGTGGTCAGCAGAAGCAGACACAAGGAGCTAGATGGCGTTTGTCTGCCGGAGTCCACGCTGTCCTTTCCACGGTCCCCTTTGCTTACTTGTCCTCCAGGTGGGTCTGTCAGGCCTGGTCTCCGCAGCCACTGTGGGAAGAAGCAGCCAGCTTCAGTGACACCCCGCCCCCCCCCACCCCAGCCCATTGTGGTTCCTCGGCCACACAGGGGCCATTACACATACAATGAGCGGGGCTGGGGACCTCCAGACTCGAGTGAAGAAGCCATGACCACACGGGCACATTGAACCTCGCTGAGGTCCTGCTTGTCAGAAAAGAAAGAGACCCTGGTCGTGCAGTGGTTACGTGCTTGACTGCTAACCCAAAGGCCAGGGTTCGAACCCACCAGATACCTAGCTGTGGAAGCCCATGGGAAAGCTCTACCGTCACAGGGGGCCACCGGGAGTCAGGGCCTGCCCACGAGTCCAGAGAGTGGGTGGCACGATCAGGGGGAGGGAACCTGGGTTACACAGCAGCCCCACACACTCACCTTCTCCTGAGAGGGCCATCAGGCTGGGGTCCGCGGGTTCCTCAGGGACCCCTGGGAAAGAGAGCCCCCACCAGCAGTGAGCGATGCAGAGGACGGCCCGGAGAGAGCGGACTGGGTGATGGTCAGTGGGGTGGGGGTGGGGCGCATGAAGCGTGGCCAGGAAGAGGATGCCCTTCCCTCTCCCACGTGTCCCCTCAGCCAGATCCCCACTTGGGTAGGACCCACAGCCAGGCCTGGTGCTCATGGAGATGGTGGACACCAAAGAGCAAAACTGAAGGTCCTGGAAGGGCTGCGAACCCCCAAGGTCTGTGTCCATGGAGTATGAGGGCCTCAGTGAGAAGTCCTCTACTCCAAAGGCGCAGGAGAGCCGGGAGAAGAGCACTGCCCGCAGCCAAGCCATCTAGATGCACGGGTGCACACACCCACATGTACACACACGCACACACACTCATATACATGTGCACTTACACTCTTGTACATGCATGCATCTACCCCACATATACGCAAACATTCATAGACCCAGAACACCCCACAATACACATGCACACATGTATCTATATGTACATACATGTGCATATGTACACTGAACACTCTGTGTGCCCACGTGTACTGACTCACTATGTACACACAGACACCCGTGAAAACATACTTCCACTCAAGTTCAAAGACAAAGGTGCGCCTGACTCAAGCCATATTTTTCAATGCTTCACATGCGTGTGAAAGTTGATCGTGAATAAGGAAGACTAATAGGAGAATCGATGCCCTTGAATTGTCATGTTGGTCACGAGTACTGAATATTCATGGATTTGTTGTTCTTCTTTGATGCCTGGTCAGGCGCCAGACTCATCACCTTTCAGCTCAGTGAGGTTATGAAGGCCCAACCCTGTCCCAGGTGGGCACAGTCTCCTCAGAGCTTTCGTCCCGCCATTGGAAGGACCCAGGCTGCCCCTTCTCTGCTGGCTCTGGGTGCGTGTGGGGAAGTGGGGAGGGAGCTATCAAGCCCTGGTTGGGAGGGGCAGGGCTCCCTGTGACACAGCCCTGTCCAGATTACACTGTGATAGGAGGCTGGGAGTGCGAGAGTTTGAGATTATGTCCCAAGTAACGCAGATCAAGCCGGCCCATGGGCAAGGGCCAGCCCTGTGCTGGGACCATGTGAGTGTGGATGTTTGAGTTGGGTTTGTTAGAATTTTTTCTACTGGCAAGGGATAAAGGGGTATCTCTGCTTATTTTTATACCCAGTGGGGCTGACTGGATGGAGGAAGACCCACTGCCCCTTCACCAAAGGCCAACTAAGAGCCCGCTCACTCCTGAGGCCTTACCTCTGGGTGGAAGTGTGGTCAGCTCTTTCTTGCTGGTCGGCTCTGGAAAACAAACCCATTGGGAGAGTGTGTTAGAGCAGGTCTGAGGGCACGTGAGAACGTTCTGGATTTGCATCTGAAGTTACCTAGAAACTGCAGGCCCACCTACCTGCCCAGCCCCTGCTGTCAACCCCACAGCGGAGGCAGGACCAGTTCCCACCTGGAGTCTGAGCCAGACAGAGAGAGGCGTCCAGGCGGTTGAGGGAGGCATTGATGCTGGCGGCAGCCAAGCACTCGATGGCGGCCTTGTCACAGGCACACAGGCGGCGCTCACACGCGTGCTGGGACTCTGCAGGGAGGAGGACGGTGTCTAGATGGCAAACCCAAGCTGGGCTCCTCACTGGCCCACTGCAAACTCGCCCTGGTCTCTTCCTCCCAAGGCCAATCCCACCGGTGCCTTAGGCCCCAGGGAATCACATTCACCCCACCACGCGTGTCCCCCTTCCCCTATGGCTCCTCTTCACTCAGCCATGCCCAGAGGTGGGAGGTCAATTTCCCAGGGTCCCCCAGCCAGTCGGGCCGCCTGCAGACGATTACCACAGGTGACGCTCCCGCTGGCACAGTCCACGTCGGTGGGAAGCGAGGCGGCATCCTGCAGACAGTCCACGTCAGCTGCCTCCTCGTAGCACCTGCGGTGCTGGAAGCAGCAGCTGCGGCAGCAAGGACAGGCTGGCGTGAGGGGAGGGGTCAGGAAGGCAGCTCGGTGGGTCCTGGCCATCGTCAGTTCCTGCCATTGCACTCGAGCATGTGTGCACACACACACACACAGACACACACAGTGGTCTGCTGTCATAAGTGGCATTGCATGCCATCGTCATCGCTTCCTGACATCACACATGGACACGCGTGCATGCACACACACACATACACACACAGAGTCGTCTGCTGTCATACGTGGCTTGCATGCCTGCAACAGTTTATCACCAGGAAACTGCTAGAAACACCAACTGGATTCAGGATAGAACGTGGAGTAAGGAATATCATGGCTGATGTCAGATGACTGTTGGCTGAAAGCAGAGAATACTGGAAAGATAGTTCCTTGTGTTTTATTAACTCTGCAAAGGTGTTCACCTGTGTGGTCCTGACAAATGAAGGTGACGACGTTAAGAAGGGCGATCCCAGAACACGTCTTTGTGGTCACGTGGAACCTGTACACGCGGCAAGAGGCAGACACTGGACAAAGGGACAGGGCAGGACTTCGAATCAGGAGCTGTGTGCACCAGGGCTAAGTCCTTCTGTGCCACTTAGGCAATCTGTATAAGGAGCTCTGGTGTCACAGTGTGTTGTTGCATTTTAAGCTGCTAGCCGAAAGTGTGGCTAGTTCAATCCACTGCGGTTCACTGGGAGACGGGCAGGCAGTCTCCTTCCGTAAAGATTTGCAGCCGTGGAAACATGGTGGAGGGCCGCTATCAGTTAGAATCAACTCAACAAGTGAGCAAATAACCCGTGAAGCTGGAGGATCTGAAGAACTTGGTATCAGGACTGGAGGAAGGCTCATTAACAACGTGCAGTGCACAGATGGTACAACTTTGCCTGCTGAAGATCATGGACTGCCCAGCAGCATGGAACACAGTTCAACATCAACAGAACCAAAGTCCTCACAACTGGACCGGTCAGTAACAGCATGGCAAAAAAATGGAGAAGAGATTGACATTTGCAAAGATTTTATTTACTTGGATTTGTAATCAATACCCATGGAGGCAGAAATCAAGAAATCGGTCAATGTACTACACTGAACAAGTCTGTTGCAAAGAATCTCTTTAAAGTATTAAAGAGCAAAAATGTCACTTTGAAGACTAGGGTGTGCCTGAACCAAGCCATAGTATTTTCAGTCATCTCATATATGTCTGAACTCAGAGAAAAGAAACAAAGGGGGGTGGAGACAATAAAAATTAAAGAATAATTTCTTTGATGTTTTAATTTTTTTGGTAAAGAATACTGAATACATCATTGGCTGAACATATAAATTGATCTTGAAAGAAATGCAGCCAAAATACTCATTAGAAGTAAGAATGATTTGACTTTGTCGAACACACTTGGGGTATGTTATTAGGAGGCTCAGACCTTCACGCTGATCACGTAGTAGTTGTTGTTAGGTGCCGTCAAGATGACTCTAACTCAGGGCGACCCTGTAAACAAATCTGAACCTTGTCCTGCTCTGTCCTCTTGATGGAGCCTCAAGCTTGAGCCCGTTGTGGTAATCTCACCACATCGGTCCCCCTTGCTGAGGATTTTCCTTTCTTTTGCTGACCTTCCACCTTTCCCAGAATGCTGTCTCTCTTCATAGACTTGTTCTTCACACCCATGTTTATCACAGCTTAACAACCTAAGTGCCCATCAACAAACGAATGGATAGAGAAGCTGTGGTATATTCACACAATGGAATACTACACTGCATTGAAAAACAAGGAACTCATGAAATAGTATTCAAAATGGGTGACCCTGAAGGACATGATGCTGAGTGAAATATCTCAGTCACAAAAGGACAAATACTGCATGCATGCTGCATGCATGGGATTGATATCAGAGTTGGGGGGGGGGAGACTGAGAAAGATGGGATAAATGATGTATACTGCATTGAAACAGATGAGGGAGAGAACTGTTTAAAGGGGATATGTGTTTGGGTATTATTGTCATGACAGGAGTCCAGAACAAAGGCTGCATAGTGGAGTGGACCTGGGGGGAGGGATTGTAAAACAGTGAAAGAATTTTTCTTTTAATTTTCAAAGAGAGGAGTGTACTGTGTGGGGAGAGGTGGGCAGGGAGAAAAGTGCAATGAATGAATGCAAATCTTTAGTCTCTGTAAATGTTCATTAAAATAAATTAAAAAATATGACAAAAAAAGAAAAAACCAACAAAGACTGATTCCTCCTTAAAATATGGCCGAAGTGAGAAAAAGTTTCACCCTCCTTGCTTCCAAGGAGCACTCTGATTGCTCTGCCTTCAATACAGATTTGTTTGTTCTTTTGAATAGTCATTATTGTTTTTACGTATTACTTTGGATATTCATACGCATTGAATTAAAAGGTATCAATTCTCCCTCTGTCTTCCTTATTAATTGTCGAGCTTTCGTATGCATAGGGAGCTACTGAAATATCAAAACTTAGGTCAGGCCCACTTTGGTCTTCCAGTAGGATGGACTGACCCAGCGGCTGAGCAGTGGGTCCAAGCCCAGCAGACCTGTGAGGGTGGCTAACGACTGGGCAGAGTTTGTTCTGCTGTGCACAGGATTGCGAGTCATCTCCACAGCACCCAGGAGGCAACAATTCACAAGGGATTTGGGGCAGTGATAATTCAGTGGTACAATTATCATCTTCCACGAGGGAGAGCTTGGTTTGAACCTTAGCCAGTGTGCCCAGTGGTCAGCCACTACCCACCTACCACTTCAGCCTGGAGAGCTGCAATATTTGTTAATGGTTTGAACTGTGTTCTCCCCAATTATGGCACAAATATTACCCTCTATGCTCAACGAGGTGGATTGACACAGTGACTGCAGCAATGTGTGTCAGGAAGTATGAGGACGGCACAGGACGGAACGGGGTTTGGATCTTTCGTTCATGGGGTTGCTATGAGTCATACTCAACTCAATGGCACCTAACAACACAATGCCTGGCCATGACCTTTGCAATTACATGTTCTGCATCAGAGAGCTGGACCCTGACCCCGGATGACAGAGGAAGAATCAATGCCTTCAAGTTGTGGTGCTGAAGAAGAGTCTTGAACATACCATGAACTGCCAAGAAAACAAATAGATCAGTTTTAGAGAGGGTGAAACCAAGTTTCTGCTTGGAGGCAAGGATTTTGGTTTCTTTGTTTTTTGTTGTTTTTTTCTTTTTCTTGTTGTGTACCGTCAAATTGGATCTGACTGGCACTGGGGGAGGAGGCAAGGATTTTGAAGCTCTGTCTCACATACTTTGGGTATGTGGCCAGTAGGGACCAGTCCTTGGAGAAGGGCATCATGCTTAGGAGGATAAAGGGACAGTAGAGGAGAGGAAGGGTCAGGATGGGATGGATTGACACAATAACTGAGATGATGGGATTAGGTGTGTCAGAGTCAGTGAGAGTGGCTTAGGACAGGGCAGAGCTCAGACCTGTTGTACACAGGGGTCACTAAGAGTCACAAGCAACTTGATGGCACATGACAACCACAAACAAAAATGCTTGTACTTAGAATCCCATCTGGGATTGAATTGTCTTCGTTAGGTTATTGAGGGGAAAAAAATAGTGTATGGTGTATCTTGAACTTATCTCTTTTTAGACAGAAAGGAGATTGAATAAGCAGTTGAATGAAAAAGATGGCCTAAAATAGAAGGTAAGGCATGTGCATCTTCAAGGAATCAGGAAGCAGACTCTGAAGAGACAAGGATTTTCCTCCAGAGCCAACACTGAGAAAAAGCTTTCCCCAAACCTGCGCTCCGAATTTCGATTTACAGATGCCAGATCTGTGAGGTTCACTTCTGTTTGTTAATGCCACTCCCTCGTGGTATTTCTGTCAGCGATAACTAAGGCAATGCCAAGCAGATTTCAGGAGTGTTTCCAGACTACACTGACTGCACCATGGAGGGAGCCCTGGTCACCTCTTCCAGAGAAAGACCAGCCAGTCAAAACTATGGGAAGCCAAACTTTATACCAAATATTATATGAAAACCCTTGTTCAGGAATTGAAGGAATTACAGATATGTAAGTTAGGATTTCTCTTGTGGCAGATCCCTGCAAGACAGGAGACAGCAAGGGGCCCCCTACAGAGGGAGTGTTACTTCCTGAGCTGGAGTTCACCCTGAGGCATCAAGGTTAACAGTTAAGGGTAAACCAAATTCTTGAATTTGTGAACCCCTCCTTCCTGAGTCCAGCAGAAGGTTTTCAATAGAAAGAGCTTGGCTTCATTTGCATTGAATTCTCTTTGTGATTTGCTTTCTGATAATTTTCAATAAAGATACAGAGAAGCTTGGCTTGGGGTCTTCAGTCGAGAACTGCTGGCCCCCTGTTTTATGCTCTCTGCTCTATCACATTCCTGGCTGTTTGTCTCTTTATTAATAATTATAAAATTATTCCATTCTTTGGGACTCTCGGTCTGCAACACAAAACCTCATGGACGGCAGCAGTCCAGTCTACAGATCGTCATGCGAATGCAAAGGACTGCAGTGGACGGGGCTCTCCATGAATCAGGGTGATAACGACAGTTAACAGTGTCAATTTACAAAGGATTGTTTGGGTTTAAGAGAAGAGCCTGCTGCTTGGAGATACTGAAGAAATGAAAACTATTGTTTGAAATCTTGAGGGCTAATTAATTCAAGTCAGAGATGATCTGTCCTCCAGGAGGTTGGAAAGCCCATGCCAACAACAGAACCGTGTCGTCACCGAAGTCGAAGTCTGAGGTGGCACAGCACCCTGACCTTTTATTCACATTCCTGCTTTAATCGTCCCTTGACGGTTGGAGAGAGTGATGGATTACAGCTTCATTTTTTTTTTTTTACTTTTTTTAACTTCTGGGTTTACAAGGTGTTTTACAATTGAAGAGGTGATGAGGGAGGACTTAACAGGGAAGTGGGTTCCCAGAAATGTTCTGGCACCGTGCCCTGTAGCCTCTGTCTGAATGCCAGCAAATTCACTCAATGAATCCATTTGCTCATGGCCCCTGAGATGAGAAGATTCATGTTTTCATTCCCAAAACATCTATTCTTGACAACCATTTATTGAGCACATGTATTTCTAAATCAGCTGATTTACTGAGCACCTGCTGCAGTAGTTAGAGCACTCTATTGCTAACTGAAAGGTCAGAAGTTCAAACCCACTAGTCACTTTTTGGGAGAAAAAAGATGGCAGCCAGCTTTCATAAAGGTCACAGCCATGGACACTCCCCAGGACAGGTCTCCTCTGTCCCTTATCGTTGTTGTGAGTCAGAATTGATTTCACAGTAGTGGAGGGTCAGCTATGAGTTGGTTCCTACCCACTGATACACAACAACAACGTAAAATGAACAGTAATACCAAGAAGAAATGGACTTTTCAAACAGTCAACCAATGGAGAACAAAGGGCAGCATTTGCCCAAAATCAAAGCTCAGATGTCAGGGAAAGAAGGAGGGATGGAAGTATCCTTCCATGGAAATGTGGGTGGAAGGACTGTACTCTGCAGTCAACCACCGGAGACCAAAAGTACTCGCCTGAATCAAAGCTCAGAGGCAGGAAAGGATGGGAAAGAAGGATGGATGCAAACAGGAAACCCTTATTTCCTACAGAAAGGGAGGAAGGAGGAAGAAAGGTGTGACACCGAGGGAATTGCAACCAATGCTGGAAAACAAACGTGTACATTGTTGACAGCAAACTTCCATGCTCTGTAACTTTTCACCTCAATTTTAAGAAAAGAAATAAAGAAAATTCTGTGGTTTACCAGAGATCCCATCTGCCTGACTGAGGGCTGGAAGATGTGCTTTCAGACAGTTGAAGATCTGCCCCTGGATAGGAGGTCATCACGAGTCAGCTGACCACCAGCAGCTGACGACAGAACATCCACCGGGTGAACATCGTCCATGCTGTAGAGACCTGGGTTCTGCTTTCTGCTTCCATTTTTCTGCTGCTGGTCCATCTACTATTGACTACTACTACTGCGCCCTTGCACCAGCTGCTGCTATTCCCACCATAAAGATCACAGCTGTGGAAACCCTGTGGGCAGCTCTGCTCGGTCCCACAGGCTCTTAGGAAGATTTGCCTTGGGGGTTTGGACCATGTCAGTCTGGTGGGTTCAGAGGAAGCAAAGACAGACTTTTCCTCACCAGACTGCCATGGTGTTCTAGTGGGTAAGGAGTTGTGCTGTGAATACAAATGTCTACAGTTCAAATCTACTAGCTGCTCTATGGCCAATCTCCTTCCATGAGATTTACAGTCGCTGAACACCCACAGCAGGGTCAGCTCTGAATCAATTTCGACTCGACAGCACTTAACAACAACAGACCTTCACCTCCTTGAAGTAATAACAGTATTCTGTTTGTCTTGGGAAAATTGTTGATACTTCGTGTCTGTTTGTTGGAAACGGAACAAAATTAATCATTGTTTCTTTTCCTAGTGGGTATTTGATTTAGGACAGTGCTGAATAGAAAACTATTCTCCATTTTTGTTAGGTTTCTGAGTCACCTGGAGCTCTTCCAGATTCTCCTCCAGGTGTTCTGAGCCAAAGGAGCCGAGGGAAGGCGGATCTCAGGAATGTTCATTTTAACAAGAGTCCAGGTGGTCCTGATCCAGGTGGATATAAACTTGGGAAACACTGAAGTAAACCTTTGCCTCTCAGACATGGTATTGGATCTTTGATAGCTCCACACTCCTGGCTGAAGGATGAGGAAAGCAGCCCCGCAACGGGAGGCATGGACTGAAGTCGTTGCCTGAGTCCCCGCACGCCAGCATTTCCACGTATGCACCCAGGGCCCCGACCAGGCCTCTCGTGAGCTTCCCCTTTGCTCACCTGTCGGTCTTGCTCACCTGTTGATCTTGCTCACCTGTCGGTCTCATCCACGGGCAGTCCCTCCATCTCAAACCTGCAGGCGCAGCCATAGTCTTCTAGGTCCCGGGGGCAGAGGCCAGCCACGCATTTCATCCCCCGCACAAACTGGAGCAGAGCAGGGAAGTTGGTGAAGACAGCCTGCAGCCAGGTGAAGTGGGGGCCCAGACAGTCTGTAGGACAGAGAGGGTAGAGGCTGAGGGGCCTGGGAACCAGGGTCCAAGAGGGAGCCCCAGTCTGATGGCTCCCTCAGAAAGTCTGACCTGACAGTTGCCATGGGTTGAATTGAATCCGCAAGATATGTGTTAATCTGGTTAGACATAATTCCAAGTGTTATGTAATTACTCTACGTTTCGTGTTCTGATATAATTAATGTAGTTTTTCTGACTCTCCCTTCTGTGGTGGTAGAGAGGTAGGACTAGAGGCAGTCTACATGATTAGGCTCTCTCTCGAGTCACTATACAGGATTAGGTTGTATCCTGAGTCAATCTCTTTGAAATAAAAAGGATTAAACAAGTGAACAGAGATGAGAAAGAGAATCACTAAGAAGAGTCAGGAGTAGAGTGAATCTTTTAAATCCACACATGGCCCCTGCTCTGGAAATCTCTCCTAGAAGATTGATAATGTGACCCAACCAGGCTAAAAAACTTGAGGGAAGTATTTTGGAGGCTTCTGGAAATGTTTTCCATAAGACAGAAATCTTGCATATAAGAAGAAGATCCTTTTTCATCTGAACTTTTCTTCTCCCTTGAATGTGAGTAAGGATATGTTGGTTGGAACTGCAGCAGCCACTTTGTAACAATGAGGGCTCTACTCAAAAGTCAAAACTCCAATATGTTCTAAATTCCAAAATCAATCTCCACAATAGTCTGCGTGTTTCCTATTGCCAAAGGGGCCCTTTAGATTAGAGAGATCTTCACCCTGAAACCTACAGCGTCCCCTTTTCAGCAGGAAGTAACTAAGAGAATACACTGTCCCCTTTTCCTTATGAATCAGGGTCAAATCTCTCTCAGGGAGGAGTGATAGGGAAGGGCAAAGGACACACACTGACAAAGGAGATTAATCAGAACTGGTTTGGACAAGCACTGTGGCAATGGGACAATTAAAACAGACTCAAGGGGAAAAAAGAGAGGAACAAACTGGGGGAGGGTAGAGAAAATAGTGCAACAATAAATGAATGGAAATACAAAATCTCTGTAAATGTTCATTAAAATTAAGAAAATAAAATTGAAAAAAAACAACAACAAAAAAACCCAACTCCAATATGTTCAAGGAAACAGTAAGTAAAGACAGCAGAAGCTTACTGGGTCTCTGACACTAGCTCTGAGCAACTGCCCCATCCAGGTACCTTTAGACTGTTGGTGAAATGACTATGCTTGTTATTTAAGGCGCCAGTCACTGGCTGATTGCACCTTCAGTGATACAGTCTGGCACATCTGTAGTCAAGTGGACTATAAGCTCAAGTAAACGGATAAAAGGCATAGACATTACCTTACTTGAGCCTCTACTACATGTCAAGCACTTGGTGAATTAAAACCATTTCAACATTAACTTACCAAAAATTTCAGCAATATTTTCCACATTTTTAAATATCCCATTGAAGAACGTGATATCTAAGTAAAAGAAAAAGAAAACAAAATTGAAAACTCTACTTACTCTCCCTACTGATTGATCCCTTGGTAAAAGTAAAACCTTTTCTCCTTCTCAATGGGTAAATTTCACCTATTGGGTTAACTTTCTAATTGTGTTACCCTGGAAACCCGATGAGGCTGAAATATGAGTGGTTACTAGGCAACAAGGCTCAGCGGTAACAATGACCCCTGGTTGGTAAGATGTGTCTGAATTGAGAGGGACTATGGATGAACTGTAAATAGACATTCAGGTGGGAAGTCATCGTTCTGGGCCTCCCCGAGTGCTGTCCCTTTTAACTGGACATGTGTCCTTGGGCATCCTGTAAAGGTGTTACTCTGAAGTCATTACTGCAGATACTGACTCTAGTGTGAAGCTTCTCAGCAGATGGTGTCCTGTGGGCAGTGTTTCCTGGGCTTTGCCCTTCTAAGTATCTAGTGTGGCCTGTGAATCTAAACGTCTCGTTGAAGAGGACCCCTGTCGGACCCTGCACTTGCCGTGGAGGTTATGTCATTGCAGAGAGGCGACCTGTGCGTGGGGTGTGCGTGGGACTGGATCGCTTGCTTGCGCAGACTCGTGAGCAAACCGTTTGGTCCATTTGGTTGACTCGTCTCTAAAAGGATGCTCGTCAGCCTGGTTCAAGGTTGACAGAGTTGAGTTTACCACTCAAGATGCTCATTGATGTTGTTGTTGTTATGTGCCGTTGAGTCGCTTGCAACTCATAGCGACCCTATGTACAACAGCCCTAAACCCTGCTCTGTCCTGTGCCAACCTCATTGCCTCTGACACACCCATCCCGATTACCCCAGTCACTGAATCAATCCACCTCATAGAGGGTCTTCCCCTCCTGCGCTGTCCCTCTACTCTACCCAGCATGATGTCCTTCTCTAAAGACCTGTGTCTCCTTACAACATGTCCAAAGTATGTCAGACGAAGCCCCAGAATCCTTGCCTCCAAGGAGCAGCCTGGTTTAACCCTCTCTAGGATGAATCTGTTTGTTTTCTTGGCAGTCCATGGTACATTCAATACTCTTCTCCAGCACCACAGCTCAAAGGCATCAATTCTCCTTCTATCCTCCCTAGTCATTGTCCAACTCTCTGATGCATAACAAGTGATTGCAAAAACCATGGCCTGTATCAGGTGCACCTTAGGCTCCAGAGAGACACCGCTCCTTGATGACCCAACAGAAAAAAATCATCTTTAAACTTCAGTACTTGCAAACCCTTCCTTTCCCCAAGGAACAAATGCAGGCTCTTCTTCCTCGTGACAACAACATCCCAGCACATCTCTACAGCCTTGACTTGCTTTCTAGGAAACTTGGCATTCCAGTTGAGGCTAAAATACAGTCACCAGATCCAATGCTCACAACCAATGTTTGCTTATGTCTCTTGCTTTCCTTATCTTTGACTTTTGATGGGCGCTCTCAGCCATTTGTCTCAAAGGGGTCACCAATGTGGAATCTCACGCCCCTGAAGTCCCTCAGGGGAGAGACCTTTGAGTCCTAGCCGAATCTCTTTACTCATAAATGCCACTGCAGTGGATGGCTCTGGGATTTAATCCCAGGTGACTGTTTTTCTCCGCCATTATCATAGCAGAAAACCTTTCACGCAGCTAGATTGCCAAGAAAGGGTCAGACAATCCTTACTGAGATTTGCTGGGAGTCCTGGAGGCAGCTCCGGGGGCAGGTGTGGGGTGTCCAGAGCATGGCCACCTGCAGGTGAGGAAGAGATGGGAGTGAGGTTAGAACAGGCATTGCTACCCACACACTAGGCAAGACCAGAAGGCAATGGGGATGCATTCCACATCCATGTGCATTTCTCCAGACGCCACTGTGTGTATGTGGTAGCTCTTACAGCCGGTGAAGGGTGACTGGTGCCATGTGGGTGGGCCTCAGGAATGGCATCTCAAAAAAAAAAAGAATGGCATCTCAATTTTGGGGGGGGGGGAGGATCTGGGGGCTTGGCCAGAAGCTATCCGTGAACTTCAAGTAGATGGTGTGTCTGTAGGTTGTCTGCATGTTTGTTTGGAGTTTCTTGAGATGGGGACTGGTGGGAACCAGGACAGTGGTGTTCCTGAGACTGCTATCAGCTGGGGTCCCCGGGATCGGATCACCACACACCCAGCCCCGTGTCCTCACTCGGGTCTGAATCACTTGCTCTCGCATTTTTAGTAGTATATCTCCAGGCTTTTGTCCTGAGGTGCTTCTAGGCATCAGGCCTTTGTTCGAAGCACTTCTCAGTCAAAAAGGTCACTGGTGTGAAGTGGCAACCAACTCGTAGCTGACCCTTCAGTGGGTTTTCCAAGGCTGTAAGGAGGAGATGGCCCATCTTTCTCCCTCAGAGCAGCTGGTGAATTCAAACTGCCTGCTTTTGAGTTGGCAGCACAACCTGTTATCACTAACTCATCAGACGTCCGGCCTCTCTGGTACACACTGCTAATCATGTCCCAGGTGCATTTTAAGCACCTCACGTCCATGTTCACCTATGCTGTCATGATAAGTTTCACACTCAATGATTCCAACTTTTTTCAACTACTTGGGTAGCTGGTTCTCTACAAAACATGAGTTTCTGTGGGCCTGTTTTAGGCTTAGATGCCTTTTGGCAAATGTGTAACAGAAGGCTGGAGACACACAGGGGAATAACATGAGGGCCTTCCCCTTCACTTGGCCATAGAGTCAGAAGAAAGGTTGTCTGCATTTGTAACAGGTTCCTTGGAGAGCCCTAAGTTAGACATCTCTAAAAAAAATCTCTCTGTGAGGAATGTTTTTTGCGAGGGCATCGTTCACCAGATTTAACACAGTCACCAGATTAAACGCTCACAACCAATGTTTGCTTTTGTCTTGTTTCCCTTATCTTTGCCTTTTGACGGACGCTCTCAGCCATTTGTCTCAAAGGGGTCTCCAATGTGGGGGTGGGGGGCTTATAACAGTGTGCAGATAACGCCACCATTTTTGCTATGGTGGAACATGAGCTTGTGGCCCAGGCAACGAAACAAACAGCCCATAGCTAGAGCATGAACTTGACCCAGCACTGAGAGGCTGAGTGAGCTTAGGGATCTGAGCCAGGCTCAGGTACTTTTTCCCCAGTGATAATAAACATGGAATGAGTCCTGGTGGTGCCAACAGTTCAGTGCTCAACTGTTAACTGAACCTCGATCATCCAAACTCACCCAGTGGCTCCACAGGTGAAGGGCCTGGGGGTCTGCGTACATAGACCACAGCCTGGAAGCACTAAGGGGCAGTGCCACTCTGTCGTGTTGTGGTCTCTCTGAGCTCAATCAAGGCCACACCATCGACCAACAACAACCACATTAAGCACCCAGGAAGTCTAGATGTCCAGAGGTGTGTAAATCAACGAGAGCTGCTTTTCCTGAGAAGGATCCGTTGGGTGGTGTTTGGAATGGCTGCTACTCCGAAAGCCACAGGGGAAAGGTGTTCATCTAGACAGCACGCCGAACAGAAATTACTCAGGCCTCCTTGTTCCACAGCCCATCCACACGGGGGAGCTCTGGAGGCTGTCCTCAGAACTCCCGCCGCCGCCCTGACTGGTGACCCCATCCCACACTGTGTGCACTGATTGCTGGGGTTCCCTTGACTTGTGGTCTCTTCATCAGACGCTAAGCCCTGATGGTAGGGACCTCATTGTCACTGAAGCTCCCAGAACTGTGACAACTATCGATGAAACCACAGCTGATCTCATGAGCTGGGAAGGTGAAACATCAAAGAAAGACAGAAAAATCAAAGGGACCTGCTTACACACACCCACACATTCTAGACTAGCTAAGTACCTGACCACATATAAAGTCAAAAACAACAAGTGCCTGACATTAAGAGAGTTTCGTCTTAAAATCTTAAGGGTGTTGTCAAGATAGAACTGCGGTGTTTTTCAGAAGACAGAGAAGCCTGGATAAGACTGAGTCATTACCACGCACAGCAAAGCCACCTGACTAAGGGCTCAAGATGGCGATTCAGAAGGAACCAGGATCCAAACCAGAAGCCAGAGTTTCCTATGCGTGTCAACATTCCATGGGGAAGCTTGGCACTTCCTCCCACAGGCTCGTTCTCCCAATTCCATCTTGAGGATGGTACACAGGCAGAAGGGGAAGGAGAGAGGAGGGTTTCAGCCGTCCATCCGACCGAAGCTGCACATGTATTACAGCTCCCTGCACTCCCGAGAAACACCCCTCCCCGTGGAAACAGCTCTAGAAGAGCCCTGAGCGTGTGCTGCTCGGGAAGACGTGCTTGTGTTCCTTCCACACTCTGCATGTTCTCCTCCTGTGATGCTCCCGTCCCTCGGAAGACTGTGATGATGGACTCGGCATGTGAGTGATCGTGAGGACCGTGCAGGATGGGGCAAGTTCAGGGTCTGTGGTTCATAAGGTCACTGTGAGTTGTAGTTGACTTGAGGGCATCTAACAACGAGGGCATCTAACGGGGCTTTCCTACTTTCTAACACATCTATATTGTTTATCCTTCTGCAAAACAGTCTGACTTTCTAGTCCTTATTGAAACCTCACCATCTGGCAATGTTTGCGTAATATGTTCTAGAAAGCCATGAAGAATGACTTGGAAGGGCTCTGACCCAAAGCCCAGTAACAGTTAAGCTGAATGCACTTATCCAGATGGGAGAAATGGGGACCTAGAACTGCAAATGTCAAGCTGATAAAGTCAATGAGAGGAGCAGCCAGTGCGAGGAGGCAGCAGGTGTGGTGAAGACTGAGGCAGAGAGAGGCTCATCACAGGTGGAGGAGGGCGGCCTGGCCCCGCCCAGGTCTAGGGCAAGAAGTTCCTCTGTGGTCTCACCTTCGCATCTGTCAAAAATTGGATGCAAATTGGAGTTTTTGAAAAGATCTTTCCATTTTAAACTCTTGGCTCAAAATGAAAATTCAGTACCAGGCAGACACAGCAAAGCCAGCCTGTGGGCTGCCTTCTGTTTTAAAGGTGAGAGGAGCGAGTGGGTCTAGGCCACAGCTCCCTGTTGCCATACCTGGGAACGGCTCCCAAGGTGGGGGTTGCTCCTGCTGAGGGCCCAGCAAATGCCAGGAGGGGGGCTTCTCCGACCACCGTGCCAACGGCTCCGCACACGAGGCATTTGACATAATTGTCTCGGCCTCTGGTTAACTGCACGAAGGCTGAGAATGCCTGCTGCCTACCTCAGTACCAGTTACAGAGTATACTGGTGTCTTCAATGAGTTTCCCTTTGTTGTTAAGTGCCTTCAAGTCAAGTACATCTCACAGCGACCCCATGAACAGCCGACCTGAACCCTGCACTATTCTATTTCATCCTCATCGTCTCCGACACACTAGAACCCACTGCTGAAGTCACCGAGTCACTCCATCTCGTAGGGGGTGGGGGATCTTTCTTTCTTTCTTTGACCCTCCATCTTTCCAAGGAATTGCCTTGTCTAGCTACCTGTCCAAAGTCCAAAAGTGAAGCTTCTCCATCCTTGTCTCCAAGGAGCACCCTGGCTGCACCTTCCCCAAGCTCTATCTATTTGCTCTTTTGGATCCGTGGGGAATGCACTCTTTCCCAGGTCTGGGAATTCACTTCCTTCTCTGGCAGGGTGGGAGGTGGCCTGACTTCCTGGTTGTGGTACTTCAGTAATCTGACTCCTCCTACACAAGTCCTTCCTCCTTCTCACCAGCACTCTCTCAGGACACCAGCACTCTCTCCTTCAGGACACCAACTCTCCCTCCTCCAGGACACCAGTGCTCTCTCCTCCAGGGCACCAGCTCTCCCTCCTCCAGGACACCAGCACTCTCTCCTCCAGGACACCAGCTGTCCCTCCTCCAGGATACCAGCTGTCCCTCCTCCAGATACCAGCTGTCCCTCCTCCAGGACACCAGCTTTCCCTCCTCCCAGGATACCATCACTCTCCTCCCAGAGCACCAGCCCTTCCTCCTCCCAGGACACTAGCTCTCCCTCCTCCCAGGATACCAGCATGTCTTGTCCAGGCATCTTTATTAACAACTGCAAAGATCATCCTGGATTTCAGTTGTTTGTCCTGGGGAGCTGAATTAGTTCACTGAAAAAGGCTCAATGAAAACAAACAAAACACCAAACAGAATCTAGTTGGTTTTGGCTCACAAAGACCCCGTAGGGTAGAGGAGAGCTGTCCTCAGGGTTTCCAGAGCTGCACATCTTTGTGGAAGTGGATCTTCACTTCTGTCTCCTCTGGAGTGTTTGGAGGGTTCCAACAGCTGACCCTTCAGTTAGTTCGGGAAGGAAAGGGCTCAACCCGTGGGTCAGTGATCACCCACCTTTGCATCTCTGTCAAAGGTCAAAGAGAAGGAAAGAAGGCAGGACTGAGGCACCAGAACAAGTCAGATGCGGATTCATTAAATTTCCTGTTCTCCCCGGGCGGTGCTCTCTCATCTGTACCTCTGTCCAGAGCTGGGACGTGTGTATTGTCACTCCCATTTCACAGACGAGGAAACTCTTCAGACCCCAGCACCCCGCCAGCCCATTCTAACTCAGGCAATCTTTTGGGTCATAGGGAAGAACTGCTCCATAGGGTTTTATTGTCCATAATCTTTAGGGATGAAAATGACCAGGACTTTGTTCTGTGAGCCTCTGGGTGAGTTTGAACTACCAACCTTTAATGGAGAGCAAACTGTGTCACTCAAGATCTCAGGTGCACAAAGTATGTCTTGATCTGGCCTTTGCCTGTCTTTCCCAGTCTGGACCTCCATGCCCCAGAGATGCTGGCATGCTTGTCAAGCTACCTGTTGCCAGCCAGCAGCCTTTGCATGGTGAACCTTCCACCTGGGGAACACTGACTCTTACTGATCTCCTATGGTTCAAGTTCAAGTCCAAGGTACCTTGCCTGATCCCTCACCTGGAATCTCAAAACCCTGTCTTTTCATGATGTTGTGGGTTCTTTCATTGTGTTAGAATTAGAGCCAAGGAGATAGAAGAGGCAGGAGTTTATGCTTGGGAAATCAAGCTATCAGAACCAGGAAGCAGATACTGATAGAATCAGTGCTTTGGGTGCATAAGTGTTATCAGAAGCAGTGGATGCTATGGGCACATGAATGACATCAGAGAACAGACCAGAACGAGAACTGCCCACTAAACTTTGAACTCTCCATGGCAGTTTCCTTGGCCCAGACGTCTACCCCAAGACCAACCCAGATGAGGCAGCTATAAATATGACCTCATCTCACTGTCTCTCAGCTTCCTCCATATTTCCGTTGGGATGTAACTTTCTAATAAATCTGTCATTACTTTTTACCTTCTCTTCTGACTACTTGATTTTTCTTCTCAGCCTCATCTCTAACAGAAAGGTTCAGTCTCCACTGGAGGCCTACATTTCAATGCTCTGTGCACTCAAGTCTTCTCTCTGAAGAAACTCTAAAATTGCTGTGCACGGTGCTCCCTTGGCACACTCTCTGCTCCCCTAGTCTCTTTTGCCCCTTCCTTTGCCTCTGTGAGAAGGGTAAACTGAGGCAGCGACCCCATATGAGGCAACAATTGTACTTCTCAAATTCAATGTTACAATGATCTGCTTTTGTGACTCTGTCCACCACTAAGATAGGAATTTCCTGAAGGCAGATGCTGTGTTAAATGCACTTTGCATTCCTTCTATAGCATGGATTCAATGAACAAAGGAGCATATAATACTTCAGCTACATGATTGGATGGTCAGTTTATCAGCCAGTAAGTGAGATGATCTGGAATGAAGAACTCTGGTTTAGTAAACTCTGAATAACATCATCAGAGAGTAGAATGATAAAGGTAATTTGTGGTTATAAGTAGGATTTAATAGAACTAAATCTTTCATGCAGAAGTCTCACCAGGAATGCACAAACCTACCTGTGCCCAGCCCCATTCCCAAAGGATCTGGAAGGAGTTAATGTGCACAGGACAGTGGGAATCACCACACACATTGCTTCACGATGTGGGGCCAGGTGGAAGACACTGCATGCAATGACATTGGATGGGTGTAGTCTAGTGCGAGAGTGAAGGGTGTCCCCTGGTCAGCTCCTGCAGCTAGAATTAATGAACCATCTCAAGTGAGAAGAGGGCAGGAATTACCTGTCTCAGGTACAGCCTGGAAGCCGTTTCCAGTCCTGACGCAAGGCATAAGAATCTTCTTGATGGTCACCATGGTACCATCTTGGAATCTGAATCAATACTTGGGAGTGCCATGAGAAAGCGCCTCAGAGAGCTCCAGCATCAGAAAATGTAACTGATTCAGGCCTGGCTGTTGGGATCTGAAGTCAGTGTTTAGAAGGAGCCTGTGACCAACTGCATGGCTGCTTTCTGCCCATGAATGAATGGAGTAGGGAGCCCTTGGCTCCTTCCAGCCAATGAATGAACGGAATGGGGAGCCCATGGCTGCTTCCAGCCAATGAGTGAACGGAGTGAGAACCTGAAGGCAAGCTTGCTACCTGAGGCACAGGGGACTCCTCTGATGGGACTGGGCCAGAGGTCTCTCTGATGACTTTCCCAGTCCTTTTTTAGGCTTCCCGGGGTCAGCCATGCTTTGTGCATCTCTCTCTCTCTCTCTCTTTCTCTCTCTCCCCCCTGCCCTTGCACAGTCTTCTCCCGGCGCCCCCAGCCTTCCCTACCTCTACTCCAGTGGTTCTCCCAGGTGTTTCCTCTGATAAAATACTTTCACATTTGATCCTGCCTTGCTATTTGCTTCTCGTAGAACTCAGATTCACTTATCAGACTCATTTATTTGAAGGTGAACAAGCAATGTCTGAAAGATTTACCTTCCCCCGTAGTGTCTGGACCAAGAACTGCTGGATTTAAGTGGGCAGACTTATCTCCTCATGGTCCTACACACTCTTGTGCCTAATTGGAGCTCCAGGGATGGCACATTTTAATCCATTTATAAACATATATATTTGCATTAAAACTTTGTATAGCAATGCTAGAGAATAAAATTCCTAGTGGTGTACCAAAAATACCTGACACAATTTATCATAATAGAAGATATCATTTTCATTTTTATTATCACAATAAAATAGTGTGGCAAAACTAATAAAAAAGAAATTAGTTTGCAGTGGGAAGTCAATAAAAGTAGAAGAAAAATAAGATGAAAAGGAAAAATCTTAATGGGTCCAATTTTATAGGAAAATAAAAATTTTAAAGAGACACAGGTAGATGTCAGAAGGATCTTGAATAGGGCAGGATTGATTGGAAAGAAAAATGTATTGTTTTAGAAGAAGAAAAATTAGGGAAATAAGTTTTTAAATTTTAAGAAAATTGGCTTTGGCAAATAAGTTCTCATAAAAATTTCAACAGTAAGGGAAAGAAAAAAAAAATACCGTAGACATTACACTATTGCTCCCAGTATGAGATGTGTTGTGGTCTTAGCTGGAATTTGATCAGGTTACGTATTGCTTCCATATAAGCCTCAGTTATACAGCAATTGGACATAAATCATCACAATCACGTTTTAGTAAGAGAAAAATATATCCAAAGAAATAACTGGGGCCAGCACCGAACAGCTACTCTGCTCTGCCTTGGAGAACAGTTTGGGATGATGCTTAGATGAGATGTAGCCTTGAAGCAAAGGTGTCTTATATTCCAGCCTTGTGCTGTCACTTCCAGGTAATGATAACACCCACTGCACTGTCCACTGACTCGGGTCATGTTTAGATAAACAATGAGCTAACTATTGTGCCCTGATGCTCTCTCTCATTTGACACCTTTGGTGTTTGGAAGGAAACATCAGAGAGGAGAGGAAGGATGAGTGTATTTGTTCAAGACTATTTTAACTGAATATGAGGAAGCAGGGAGAGAATGCCTTAATAAAGTAATAGGACTGAAAATAACTGCGGAAGCATGTTTTCTGGCCAAGACTCCAAGTGAACTTCCCATTATCACCTCAGCTGCCTAAGACTTTGCTTAAGCATGTTTAGATATTGGAAGTGTGAGGCTCAACTCTAGGATGTGGGCATGGAAGTAGATGACCTGCCCAACAGATATATCAACAAGTGTGTTATTGCATGTCAAGAAGGCCAACAGGCTCCAAGGAAGTCAACAAGGCCACACAGCAGTCTACAACCCAGAGAAGAGGCGATGTCACCATATCATACCACATGGAGAGATTACTGGTGCCCATGCTCTCTACCTAGACCTCATCTTCCACCCCAGACATTCATGTCCTATGAGTGGTGCACAGAAATACCATGGATATTTAAATTCCATATTAAATTTGGCAATATGTCCCAGTGTTCATTTTAGATGGGCTTCTGACTAGCCAGTCATGTGCTGAGCTGGATCTACGGTGTAAGATACCCTTACTTACCCACACAGGGGACCAGCAGCACACTTATGAGAAGAGACACGGTCATGGCTGGAGGACAAGGGTGGGTCCGAGGCATCGACTGGTCTACGTCCTGAAGAAGAAGTCAGTGAACTGTGGTGAGCTGCACACAGCAATTCTGTCATGTAAAATCTGTGAGAGGAGCCCTTTGTCCCCCAAGGCAGGGTGGGGAAAGGAAGTCTCCTTGGACAGGGTCTGTACCAGCTTTGACTACCTTCCAGCTCACTGGATCACTCCGACTCACAGTGACCCTGTATGTATCACAGCAGAACTGTCCACAGCCTTTTCTGTGGCTGAATTTTCAGAGATCACCAGGCCTTTCTTCCAAGACACTTGTGGGTGAATAGGAGCCTCCAACCTCTCAGCTGATACCTGAGTACGTTATGTACACTGCCCAAGAGAATCCAACATTACAATTCAAAGCTGTCAATTCTTATTTCATTGTCCTCATCTACTTCCCAGCTTCTGCATGTATGTCTGGGTAAGCACTTGGCTATGAGCTAAAAGGCTAGTGGTTCAAACCAACCCAGCAACAACACAGAGAAAGAACAGACAATCTGTTCCCATAACAATGACAACCCAAGAAACCTATAATGTGGGGCTACCTTCTCTATCCCGTAGGGCTGTTGTTCACACCAACTCACTGCTATCTAAAAGAGGGATGTCAAACTAATCTTAACCCCCAGGGAATAAAAAGGATGTAGGAAGGTTTGTTGACATGTGTCTCTACTGCTTTAGACGTGTTTTCAGGAGAGAGTGTGAATCTGATCGTGAACTGATGTGACCCCTGCTTCTCCCGTGGTGCACACAAGCCTGATAACAGATGGGGGGGTCATGATGCACACTGCAAAAGGTGCTTAACTAAAGTGAAAATTAAATAAAAATAAAATAAAGTAAAGTAAAGTAAAATAAAATAAAATAAAATCCACGGCTGTCAAGTCAACTCCAAGCCCCAAAACCACCATAGGACAAAGCTGAACAGCTCTGTAATTCCTGAGACTGTAAATCTTTCCCAATAAGTCTTCCTATAGGAGCAAGCTGCCACATCTTCCTCAGTTAGTGTAGCCGAGTTTGAGCTTCTGTCCTGCCAGTCAGTAGTCCAATGCTTCACCTGCTGTGCCCCTGGGAAGAAGCTGGGCTGTCGCCAGTGCTCAACTCCATGCTGCACCAGCCCGAGGAGGCCCAGGCACATGATGGGACCTGCACACACACAGTGGGCCATTCAGAACCAAGGACAGCGTCTCAGAGGGGAGGGCTTCCGTGGGTTGTGGGGTCATGGCTCTGGGAAAACCTGTTTACGCATCTGATGGCTGTAGAATGAGTCCTGGTAAGTTCCAGCCACATCAAACATCCTCAGGCTACTCTCTGATGTCCCTTGGGCACAACCCTCTGCTTATACCTTTTTCAGCCCCAGAGTTCCCAGGGCAGAGTCATTGTCCGTGTCCCAGGCTTTGCACGAGTCTCTGATGGAATGAGAGCCACAGCGAAGAGCAAAGCGAGATCTAGGATGTCTACAGATAGAAGGGAGTTTGCAGGGAGCCCATTGTTGGGGAGCCTCTGAGGCTCCCATCTAAGCCACAACCCCATAAGTGGGGCAGACTTTTCTTTGGATCATGGAGTCATGACTGACACTCACTGTGCCCCCGCATTCATTCTTACTACCAGAGAGAACGCCAGGAAGTGGCATTAGATGGCGCATTGGAACCACCCGTCCAAGCTCCCATTTTACAGCAGAGATCACTGAGGCCCAGGCACTGAGTTTAGGTGATCATGGACCAGGCCTGCGTCTCCTGACCTTCCGGCCAGAACTCTCCACCGGGCAGCACCGGCCTGTAAGGTGTTTGTGGGGGTTACTGAGTTAATCCCAGAAAGTTCTTCCAGTGTGGCATTTGGGAAATAGTCAAATGCTGAGGTGCCTACAGCAAAGGCTCAAGATAAACAGGCAGATCTCAGAGACACTGCAGGTTCGGTTCCAGACCCCTGCAATAAAGTGACTACTGCAGTAAAACAAGACACGGGATTTTGGGTGTTGTTCCCCACCCAGGGCCTATAACAGTGAGTCCTGGTGGAGGAGTCCATAGAGAGATGTGCTACTAACCCCAAATCGGTGCCTCTCTAGGGGTTCAAATCCACCAGCTGCTCTGTAGGAAAAAGATGAGCAATCTCCTCCCATGCAATTTACAGCCTCCTGAAAAGCCGCTGGAGGGTCAGCTGTGAGTCAGGTGGACTTGAGAGCAGAATGGACAACGTTTATGTAGATTCTCTACCATCGGCTGTTAGGTGTACTCTCACATTAGGAAAAAGCAGAGCTCTTCCGAGAGAGGCCACAATGTGACAGACACACAGAACGCACACACGCTGCTGAGGAAACGAAGCCAGGAGGCTGCCACACACCCTCAGCTGGCGAACGACACCTGGGGAGTCAGTCAAGGGGGGTCAAGAGACAAGGTCGCCTGTGGTGGTGATTGTCATAAAGACCTTCGCGCAGGTTCCTAATTTCCTGCAGCAGAACCCCTGCATGGTGACAAGTAGGGGTGACTCGGATCAGCTCGGAGAGGAGAGTTCTTCCCCTGTCCTGAGTCTTATATCATGAGCAACTTGCCTGGGCAGCCTGAAGGTGAGCAGAGGTCAACAGAGGGTGACGTTCATGGCCCGCCTCCTTGGACCAGTTAAATGGAAAAGGGTTGGGTCAAAGCGACCTCATCACAGATGCAGCCTTGGAATTGCTCTCAGCTTTGAATTTTTGTTATTTGTTTGTTCTTGTATTTTCATGTTAAAATAGAACCAAACATTGCCATTTCACCATTTGGAAGTGGGCAGTTTGGTGA